AGTGACTAAAATTTTGAGGCTCTTGTTCACTTAAAATTTTCATTTACAATTAGTGGTTGGGTAGACAAGTAACCGCCTCGCCGTTTGCTTGATCTATCTCAAGAAATTTGTGGACAGGACAGCTCAACTGTTGGTGGAGCTGGTTCATAATTCATATTAAATTGCTGTTCTCTAACTACAAGTAAGATGTTACACTGGTCTCGAGCAACTCTTTCTTGAAACTTTGTCCGGGCCCCAAAAAATTATTAAATGTAAATGAAATTAAAGAAAAAGAAAAAAAATAATAATAGATTAATATCCTTCTTGATTCTTTCTTGGAGGCTAAGTTTGAGAAGTCCCCCATATATCAAATCAAAAAAGAAAAATTAAATAAGAATATCCCTCTTACAATAAATGATAATAAAATAAAAGATAAGAATTAAAAGCCAATTTAAAAAATGTAAAGTGGACACATTAAGGAGGTAAATAAAAAAATCAAAAAATAAAAATAAAATTTTTTTATTTAAGATGATTGGCTCCTCAATTTAGAAATATATTTTGGAATCATAATTAAAAAAAATAAAAAAAATCATAATTTGATGATGATTTGGTACTTAAATATGTAAATTACATTATGAGTCATAATTAAGAAAAATTAAAAAACAGAAATTAGAGAAAAATTGAAAAAAAAACTCTAGGTAGAGCTCATAAATAAGAGAGTAAGGGTTAGAAGAGAGGACTGGGAATTTCCCAGTAAAAAAAGAGGCAAGGTAGAGAGCTTTTCTATCGTCTCATTTCATGGCAATGGGTTGGGTTGGGAAAAGAGAGAGGAGGCTTAACTAGAGCAAAATCTTTTGTTCATCTTCTTTCTTCTACCCAACAAAAGCCTGTACTTTTGTGATTGTTATCACATTTAAGCTTGAGCAGTGATGACTAAAGTGTTGAATCCAACATGATTTTAGTTAATTCTCACTATTCCCCTTCTTTTGATTTGTTCGAAATATGCCTTTATCTATTTATCTTCCATATGTACTCACTTTGATATATACTTTCTTTCTTTTTTTCATTTTCATTTTATTTATTCTGTTTTTGGTTCATGTCTTTTTACTAATATGTGTATATAGTTTTTTATTATTGGTTTATTATATAACGTATTCTTTTTTTTAGCCAATTGATAAGTGGAGCATCAAGTATGAACTTTTTATCCCTATCTATTATGTTTAACTTGAGTTTCATGTTGACTTATTTTTGGGTGTTCTTTCTTTTTGTTTTCGAAAGTGCTTTTCTTTTTACAATCCATACCGTATGAGGTTTTCAAACCTCTGCAGGTATCTAGATTCATTAGTAAATCATGTGAGACTATGGGAGCCTCCACAGGAATACCAATATGGTTGCACAAATTTCCCCTTTGAAATAAAAAGAAAGAAAATAATTTTGGCACCATGTTTATAAATAAATAATAGAATAGAAAATATATTTAAAACATGTACGCGTAATCTCAAAATGTTTTTGTTAAGGCCATGTGAGATTTTTAGAATCTCCATAGGCTCAAATGATTATTCTTCCATGTGAGGTTATGGGAACCTCCACATTGAGGATAATCCAAAATTTCTTTCAAAAAATATTTTCTAAATAAAAATAAAAAATTTGTTTTCATATATTAAAAAATACAAACCTACCAAAAAAAATACCTTTTTTAATTGAATAAATAGTTTTAAAAAAATATCAACTAAGTGACATGTATTTTTACTCTCGAACTACATAGATTTTGATCCCTCTAAAAAGTACGTAGGTCCTAGATTTTTATCCTATATCAAATCTAGTTTTATAAATAATTTATTTTTTATTTTTTGTATATAACATGTTTTTTGTTTCTATCCTTTTTTAAGATAATTAAAATATAATAAAAAGGCCATATTAACTTTGACTAGTTGATTTAGGATAACCGTTCTTTTGAATGGGTGTTGTGGGGTGCCTACCACCTTCCCCACACACAATCAACTCCCGAACCCTATCCGGTTTCCGTAGACCATATTTTTTTAGGTTTCCAAAATTACCCTTTTAAAATTTTGGTGACGACTCCTCTTTCTTTTCCTTTTACGAGATAACAAGGATTCAGATGCGACAATGTTGAACGAGAATTAATTGTTAGCCTATATAATTGTTCTGCTATGTTAGTATGGAATAAATAAAACATTAGATTGAAAAAGTTTTCGTATAAAAGAAAATGATAATATTGATCGAAGAAAAAACTAAAAAAATCTTACCATATAGCCAGTATCACTACTAACACGTTGAATCCATCGTCTTATATGTCTCCCATGCCATTGCATGTATTCAGATGCTCGATCAAGTTCACCAAGTGCCAGAGGAGGATCAACAACAGCATGTGGCCATCCATTCCATGCTTCAATAAAGTTTGAATATTGTTGAGTCCAATCTGTCGTTATTCTGCTACGTAGTTGTATTGTATAGTAATTTCCTAAATGAACAGACATGATAGGAATAGGTTGTTGATGACTAAATTGTCTTAGTACATGATTAGGGTGATACCATTCTATAATATGAAAACATATTAGAGGAACTAAAGCAAGTCAAATTTCAGGTGTTGCCAAGCAATATTCTAGAATAAATTGGCACACTTCAGAAGATTCATATGGCTGCTAAATTATATTGTCATCGGTCATTCTATCAAGGAGACTACTATGTTGACTTAAGGACGTGGCACTAGGACAGGGATTTTGTCCTACATTTTTCCATCCAGCATTATCAACAAAAAAAAAGGTAGTTTTAAAATTTGTAAAATTTTGATAATAAATATTTATCAAATATTTGCTGTGTGATTTCGGCATACATTTTTAAGTAAGATAGTAACCTGTAACATCTTTAAATGAACAATGACTGTGGAATATCTATCATAAAAAAATATTTAGAATAAAAAAATTAATATATTAAATTTAATAAATTTAAAAAATTAATTTAAATTTAAAATAAACGTTATATATTAAAAATGTATTATAAATTCTAATATATAAATATAAAATTAATAATATAAATTACATATTTTAAATATATTAAATAAATAACTTTCTATTCATTCCATTTTATTCAAAAAATATTATAATTAAATACTATAAAAAAATATGAGCTAAAATAATTGCCTCTGCTTCATTATTAGAAAGGATCTTAAAAATTATAAGTATTTAAAAAGATTAAATATATTTAAAAATATTAAATTATCCCACAACTACATCCTTAAATTTTCTCTAACTTATGCTCCATTATTGGATATTTTTAATGATTAAATTAGATAAATATTTGATTAAATAAGTTAATTTGGAAATGTGAGTTTTTTATTCAAAAAAAATTGCCTCTGCTTCATTTTTCTCTCGGTCCCAACTCCATACTTCAAGTGTTCAATTTTAATTTATTTCTATTATTAAAGAATAATTATATTTCTTTCAGCCTCTAATTTCTATATTGTGAATAAAAGTTTTTGATGAGATATATACTTTGGTAAATTTACATTGAATAATGATAAGCTTATAACGAACACACTTGTGTAATTTTATATTAGGTACTGTTTAAGTGAACCGAAAAAGCATCCTTATGATTGAAAAAAAAATAAATGTTAATAACTATTTCACACTAGTTATTTAAAAATTATAATTACTTAATATGACAAAACAATTAGCCATTGCTGTTGAGTAATTTTTTTAAATTTATATTTTATTATTTAGTCTTCCTAAATAATTATAATTTTTAAGATCCTCTTTAATAAATATTGCTTTTTCTAGGTTCTCCTCTCTAATTTTCCAAAAAAATTAAAAAAAAACTCATTTCTTTCATTATTATTAACCCCACCATCAGTACTCTTTTTATCAGGAAAATTTTGGCACCATCTAGTGCTAGTTTTCATTAGCCAGATACAAGACTAGACTAAGCTCACAACCAAATATCATCTAACTAGATATATATTTAATCTGACTACATATTTACTCAAACACTATCTACTAAAAAAAAGATATATATTTAATTACATTATAAAAAAATAAACTACAATTTATTTTATATGACAATTAATTATATGTCTACATTTTTTTAAGTAAAACAAACTCAACATGTAAAAATGACTAAATATAAAATTCTTATCCATCATTTAGCCAAATACATACCAAAATTTTAAAAAAAAAATAATCAAGAGAATGTACCTTAGTTAGAAGAAAAATCAAATTTCAAGTTGAGATAAAACATATACAATATTTGCAAGACCACACACATCACCTATTTCACACGAAAGTGTGGAAGGAGAAAGAAGAATAGAAGGAGCTAGAGAAGTTTAAGAAGAATTTGAGAAGTGGCAAGAAGGCATATTTGAGTGGGAATGCCCAATGCCACTGGATGCATTATATAGGCAGAATTTACACTATGCATTCACATGTCAAAACAAAACACTTACGTGTGAGTTGAGCTGAAGATATGAATGACTACTCCCTGAGTCCTCTACTGATGGGGATATTTGGGGAAGGAATTTAAGCAAGAGCACTTTGCGCGTGTGGCTGGAAAAAGCAAAAGCATAAGGTCTAGTCAAATAAGAAAGTTGAAAAAGCATGGAAGGAAGGAATTTCATGTGGAATGTAGAACAAATTGTGGGTCCCACTGAAGTTGTTGAGACCAAAAACAACTTTCATTTTGTGATAAGTTCTACTGATCTCGTTCTTGATCTGAACAAGTTCTATTATTTTGTGATGGGTCCCACTAAACTCATTTTTAGTCTGAACGAGTTTTATTATTTTGTGATGTAGGTTCTACTAAACTCGTTCTTAATCTAAATGAGTTCCATACAAATTTAAACTCAATTACAGTCTGAATGATTTCAGGTATAATCTCAGTGAACATTTTGATCTTATCATATCTGAGTAAATTTTTTTTATTGTTTATCATATTTGGATAAAAAAAACCATATATATACACGCACGCGCACAACTTAATCTAGATTCAAACATTATAAATCTCAAATAGAAATAATTCTTCTCATATAATTTTTTTCCATCTATACACACACACACACATTTCAAATTATCCACTTATGTTAGTACATCAGTAAAGATATACCCCATCAGTAAAGATATGCCCTTTTGAAATTAAGCTCCGTCATGCGAAATCATTAATGCAGACGATGGGATGGTTCTCAAAGTAAAGAACTAATCATGGTTATAATTTTATCCCTGGTGTTCTTGTGATCTTCATAAATCTTAAGGAACCAGAATGCTCGATGAAAAATCTTCTGGTAGCAACTTCTGTATAGTTATGATCTTCATAGATCTTAAAGAACCAGAACGCTCACGACCTTACCCGAACAGGATCTGTTCTGTTCTGAAGGCCGGTACCTGTCCTTGAGCTCTGAGGAACCAGAATGCTCAATGAAAAATTTTCTGGTAGCAACTTCTGTATAGTAATGATGCCGCTCACACAAATACCCAACATCTTTTACATAAAACACTCCATTTCTCAATATACAACACCGTTCATTTAATGCTACTCGTCTTCCATGTCTTCCGAATCTTCTCCATTTCCATCTTCATCTTCAATGTCCTCCGAATCTTCTCCATTTCCGCCTTCATCCTCACCCTCACTATCTTCGGATTCTTCTCTATCTTGATTCTCTTGTGTCTTGTCATCATGTTTTCCTCTGCCACCTTCGTTTCCTAAAAAGAGAGGGGTAACCAATTAAAGAACACATATTTTATTAACAAAAGACACATTTAAAAAAGTCATGACTAAGAGGAAAGTTGAAAGGAAACTGTTAGAGGAATTGTGTGTTGTCTCGTGCACGTGCAAAATAGGCACGCAAAACGCAATCATCTGATGCAAATAGCAACCTCTAATCTACAAACAAGAGATCTCACAAGCATCATCACTTCTCTAGCAGTGATTTCTTTCAACATCAATAATAAATGTTTAATAAAAGCATTATGGTTGGATTCTTAAGATTTAAGAGAGAAAATATACTAATGGCTAATAAAAAATAGTTAAGGTCTGAATGCCAATGCCCCTATTTATCAATTTATCATGTCTAGTACCATATTCACTGAAGAGGACTTCCCCCGAACACAGCCCTTTCTCAACCTTGATTAGCTTAAGTGTCATCCTGGGCCCGACCTCTTGGAGCTTCACAGCACTTTTTGTAGAAGCACGATTAACTCTACCAAGATCACTTGCCAAAGTCACTGTTGCTGCTTCATCGTCTGCTTCACTCTCTGATCCATAGCCAGCCCTTCAAAGCACCCCAAAAAAATAATAATAATAATAATTCTTAGAACAAGAACACAAGCAAAGAGGAATATTCAATATGATTAATTATTTTCCATACTAAATTTTTGGCTCATTTCCCAATTCCAGTTCTTTATCAGAATATAAAAGGTTCTCGTTAATATATATATATATATATATATATATATATATATGTATGTATGTATGCATATGCAAGAGTACTGTTCACGAAATATCTCACAAGAGAAGAATCCTTGAAAAACCATTTGGTTAATTCATATATATTACTGACCAAGATGCCAATATCAAGTTCTCATATAGCTGGAGAAAGCTGGAGATTCATAGAAGATTTATAAATCATTTCCTAGGACCTAAATCAGAAGATTAAGGGAAATGATGCAAAAAACGGAAATACCAGCCGTCATGAGGATTACAAAGAAGGATCGTTACCATGAGGGTAAAGAAGGGGCGAATAAGTAGGTTTTAGGTGTAGCTAGAGTGCAGGCAGTGTGCGTAGTGACTTTTTTGTTTTTATCCTTGTACTCTGCGTAACTGTTATCTGATTGTAATTTTTATCAATGGGTGCATGAGGGAGATGGGATTAGCTTGAATCATCATTTCCCTTGTAATTCAATTTTATTATTCAGAAATAGTGCTATCACTCCCACATTGTTTGTGGTTTATTTCTGAATTTTGTGGTTATAAGCTTATTAGAGTTGAGGGCTCTATCATAAATTTGTAGTTCAAGCAACGAATAAAAGGGAAAATGACAATAAAATACCTATTAAATTTCAAAATGACAAATAGGTGATTATGACTATTCTTGTAAAGGTTTTGACATGCTACAATCTCCTATTTCTCCTTTTGAAGTTCAACAGGTATTTTTTATCACTTTCCCTAGATAAAATATACATCAAGTTATAAAGGTTGCCAAAGTTCAGGAAAACCCAACTATAAAGGACACGAATAAATTCTATTAACTCGCTCCCCAACTATCTTGTAAATATTAAAAACAAAAAGATAGAAAGCAAGTATCTTACTTTGTGATAAAATCACTCACGTCATGAAGATTCCTTAAATCAGGGACTTGATGGTTTTGCACAAATTTTCTTATTTTACGGGAAACACCTACAGGTTGCAATCTTATGGAATAATGCCGAAAATCAATGAGCTTTGTGTCTTTGTTGTAATTAAGCAGCACAATTCTCTGGCAAGAGGAGAGTTTAACCTGAAGCAAAACATTAAGTAACGATTAAAAAAAAAAATGAAGGAATTGAATGTCAAGCTATTCATTAAATATGCTGTTGGGTTTAAAACTTACAGTTTTAACATCAATTGTTGGGAATATGTTCTGAAACATGTTAGTTGTAAGCTGTAGAGGAAGGTCTCCACTCACGAAACCAGAAAGCACAATCTACCAAAATAATCAACCAGCATATCAAATAACCATTTCTCAACACTCTACTGGCAAACTATAAAATCTGGAAATAGAACACAAAAGCAAGTGACTTTCAATGAACAGCTGTGGATAAGATATTTTACCAAAGCTGAATTTTTGAAAAGATCTTTAGGGCACCGAGGATGCAACTGAGACTGAGCAATGTCAGCTGCCAATGAGTATTCGTTTATTTTAAAAGTAAGAGTAGGTCCTTGAGGGGTCGTTGCAACCCTCAAATAAGGTGCAGTGGCAGTTTTCGAGAGTATCAGGAAATGTGTAACACCCATAGGCCCAGCAACATTCAGAAAGTCTTTCAGATTATTTCGTTTCTTTTCCTACAAACAGAAGAAAAAATGTATTGTCAACAAAAAAGGATTTAACCAATGCTATATGGGCAAATACATGCAGAATGTTCTAATGAAATAGATCTTGGTGCAAATCAATAATCAGGCTGAGAAATATTAACACTTGCGAGCTTCAAGCTACCAATAATCTAGTTTAACTTCGAAACAGTGGCTAGATTCGTGAGCTTATGTCAAGAAGCAATTTTCTTTGTAGTTTAAACTCTTCATAGTATGGCTGTCATTTCCTACCCTCCAATGGTTTATTTCGCAATCAAGCAGACACTTCATGACAGTAAATTCCAAGAATGCAGAGTTTATTAATTGACTTCCACATAAGTACATAATTCATTCTAAAACGTTCATAGGGATTTGGCCATTTGTTAGACTTGTTGCAAGCGCACAAATAGTACTTCACAATTAAAACTAAATTTATTCTTATAATAGTTTAATTAATCTTCTCTAGATAACAAGTACAGCAGAATATGAATGGGGGGGGGGGGGGGAATCCAGAAACATCCACCTTGAGGTTGAGAGCGGTATAAGGCAGCATCAACTTTCTCAGGTCCATCTGAAGTTGCCTGAGAGGACCAGGCAACTTCCCTCTTGAAAACACAAAACTCTTAGGGATCTTCTTTCCCGTAATAGGATCCACAGATGGCTGCTGTTGCTGCTTCTGATTCTTGATGACCACAGGCTTCCTGAAGAAGCTCTTCTTTTTCCTCTGTTCCAATTCAAAAGGATAACGAGCAACAACAAACGGTTAAGCCAAAACTAAAGCCCATAAAAGAGAAGAACCAGAAGGGGAGGGGATTTTTGTTGGATGGCCCAGAAACTTGAAGAAAGTAACGCCCAATTCAGTAAAAAGACAAATACCGTATAAAGATAAAAAAAAGTTTTAAACTAACAGTGTTACCTTCCGATCTCCTCTCCATCTGACTAATTCAAGGATCATTACCAAGGTGGTAAAAAGAAAGCAAGAATATTAAGAGAGAACAAGAGGAAGTGGCTCATCTTACCATGGTTAGCCAAAGAGTGACTCTGCAAATCTCAAAGGTATTTAGCTACCCTTTCCGACGTAGTCGACAGAGTCTGATAGGGCAAACAAAGTTGCAGCAATACTGTCAAATTGATAATCCAAACACAGCGAAGTTTAGATTAAACATTCAAGTGCAAGTTTCAATTTATTGCAGGACAAGTCTAGGGGTAAAAACAAACAAAATGAGCAGTCCCCATTTATACATATTCGAGGGTGGAGGGGGTGGAATGAAGCTACGAGAAATTGCAGAACGGACAGTGAAACGAACCTTAGTTAGGACCGGAAGGTACACATACTAGAATAACCAGCCACCAGGTAAGGGTTTTTGGAGCGGTACAGAAGACAAAAAAAGGGAGGAAAGAGAGGGCGAAAACACACCTGAGATAATAGAAGAAGGGAGAAGAAGCCGCAGATGGCGAGGCAAGGATGGCGGCGCCAAAATGACAGAACTTTGAACTGACGCGCCTTGGCTTCCCCCTTTCCGCTATGCAAACGCTGTTTTGTCGCAACTCGCAAGACGGCTCTTTCTAGTGGTATAATTTTAAAAAAATTTAATTTAGAAAACCATGATCAAAATATGCGTACTTGCCGGGTGTTTGGGATATCCAAAATTACCTAAAAATTATTTTCATATAAGTAAAAATAAAATTTCTCTTACATGCTTATTTCGTATATTATAAAATCACTTTTAAAAATATGATTTGGTTTCCACTTAAATATCTCATTAATTAGTAAGGCAAGAAACATTTTAGTTTTGACAAGTACTATTATAATATCTCACAAATTATAAATAAATATGTTAAAATTGAAATATATTTCATATTAAAATAGGCTAAAAATGCTATTGAAAAGGTAAATTGTTTGTTGCCACTGATGAAACTTCATTTGAAATAATTTTTTAGTTTATAACTCAAAATTAGTCCATGGTTAAATTAATCACTCTCATTTGAGGCATTCTGGTCATGAAGGCTGTCAAGAAAAGTAGGAATAAGACATGACATATATGACTAACCTGTATCATTAATTTCTAACCACGCAAGTCGTACTCCTCAAATATATCATCACCCTCATTTATGAAATTTTTTATGTAGTCGCAAATTTTATTGATGTCATGGGAGAAGGTTCATCTCCTTTCTTTTTCTTCAATCGATGAATATCTCCATCAAGCTTTGAATCAAGATTCACATATAAATCCCGCTAAATTTCTTTTAATTTTATCGATCTGGGTCTCATGCCTTCAATAAAATTTGAGTTAACCATCCACGTGTGTGTGTGTGTGTGATTATTCATTTATTTATTCTGGTGGAATACAGAATCATAATTGGCCAGGAGTAGAAGCTAAGATCTTTTAATTTGGTTAATAGGAAAATCTCTTCTAACTAAATTTGCTCCATTTTGCTTTGCAATCATTGCGCCTGTTTGAGTTTGGGAGACCCAAACGTGCCTAGAAAATTGGACGTGGTGCGTTGGTAGGTTATTAGGAGATAAGCAATCGTTTGGTATAGTATTCTTTCAAATGGACTTCTGAATCTGATCGTGCGTCGTATCTGAAGCTAAATTTTGATGCATTGGGAAGAAAAGTTTATTCATGCCGTGTATCTGAATCTGATCGTGCGTCATTTAGACACACGTTTCTTTGGTTGGTTGTGTTGCCCTTGCTTTGCTTTCCTTTCTGCTTTGTCAGTTCTGCTGATGTTTGTAAGTTTGCTTAATTCTGAAATAAAAATATCACACTATTCAGCTCAAAAAAAGAACAGAAAACCAAACACCTGTTATTTTGCTCACAAACAGCACTTTTACAGGGTGTTCACGGGACGGGACAAGACAAGACCGGGATAAGCTCATCCGGTGAACAATGATAGGATGGGATTTTTGTCTTATGTACCGTTTTCCCTTTTTTTTTAAAAAATATTTTATTTTTATGTATAAATTTGTTTATGTTATAATGCTTATTTTTCATTAGGTTTCTAAAAATAAAAACATTATAAAAAATTATATAGAAAACTCAATTATATAGTATAAAAAAAATGTAAAAACAATACTGTAAAAGAAACACTATATAATGGCTTTATGAATTGTTTTATTGAGGGAGGAGATTTTGTTAAGATAATGCTATAATTTAAGAGCTAAAAATCACTATAAAAATTATAATTATTATTAATAAGTAAATTGAACAATATAATAATTCTCATTAATAAATAATTCTTTAAAAAAAAATACTCCATGACGAACGGACGCGTCCCGTCCCAGTTATTGTCTCGTCTTGAATTTTTTTTGTCCCATCCCGAACTCATTAGGATCGGAGCAGGATAAATTGAACACTCTTAGTTTCACTCAACACATCCCACAAAACGTTCGGGTACCACATCCAACGGTCCAAAAGTGGTTTCAGAACTTAAAAGGTATAAATTTACTGAGTTGCGATTGCAAGACACGTAACCACCAATCAGAATATAGATTTGCAGCGGATACTATAGCATATAGAAGAAAATAATGACCTTATGATTTGTAAGGATAATTATAAGGATTCTTACTTTTCGAATGAACGTATGATACAAGGTCAAAAAAAAAGAATGAACGTATGATAACTTGTTGGCAAAAAAACCAAAAAAAAATTGAACGCACGTTTTGTTTGTACAGGGAGCTTGGAATTAAGCGATCTTCCTTCTTCTTTCTTTTTAGGCTGAAAATAGTATGATTTGTTTGAGAATTCCATTTTTTATGGGAAATTAAAGTCATAAAAAGAGACCATGAAAATTGCGAAATCACAAATTGAGACCTGTTACAATATTTTCATAGATTTTGACAATAATTGGATTGTAAATGACAACATATTTTTGACAAAATACTTAATTAGCAATTTTGCAATTTTCATGATCTTTTTTTTGGTGATTTTCTCTTTCTTATCTGCCTGGTCAAGATGTACTACTTATTATTTAGAAAATATGTTTGGATTAACTTTTTAGAAATAATTAATAAATATGTTGAGAGGTTTTGTTTTGATATGTATGAAAGTAAATTTTTTTAAATGTTTTCGAGGTTTGCCAAACTTCCTCTTCTTTTTGCCTACCGATCTTGCGGAGGATGAATTATTACGAAATAATAAGGATTAACACCCCAAATGAGACTTAATTTTTCCCCGCCAAGCACAAATGAGATTTTTTTTTTTGTTGCCAGAATGAGATATTGACAATGGGTAATTACGAAAAATGATAAAATAAGCTTAAAAAGGAAAAGAGTCAGAGACTACAGCTTATAGAAAGAATTTTAATTTAATATTCCTCTGGTTCTTAATATAAGACCCATTTAACTAATTTGATTAGATTAAGGAAGTTAAGTAAGTTAGTTAATTATAAGAAAAGTGACACATTTTTCCTAAAACACTATAATCATATTTCTTAATACATCATCTCCCTCTTCTACTTGATTATGGTTAAGAGAATATCCATATGGGTAATTTAGAAAAAATTGATAAATATGAGAAATGAGTCTTATATTTATGACTAAAACCAACTCAAGAATTAGGTACTAAATTAAGGACGGGAGGAGTATTAAATTTGAAATCCAACTATTTACGTGGAAAAAGGAATATAAATTAGGTTTATCAAAAAAAAAAAAAGGAATATAAATTAGACTTTAGTAGGCTTAAATGCTTGCTCTGTTTTTTTTTAAAAAAAATGAAACAAAAAGCAAGTGTCTGTGTATATTACACACACACGCATACATCCAACACAATCCCTCATTCACCGTGATTTTTGATTCTGTTTTCCCAAGTTTCTAATACTCACAATGAATACAAATTAATATGTAATAAAGCATTACCATAAATGGGGAAACATATTTCAAAACACAGGGACCTTGTACCGTAATATAAATTCTGCAAAACCTCGTTGCTTCTGATAAGAATAGTATATTCTGAGAAAAGCATCAAGAAGAAGAAGAAGAAGAATGTCTGTAAATCTCATTATGAAAGCCATCCTGCTGGCCCTTTCGCTGCTTCTGATAGCATCAGATTATTCCGACGCAGCATCTAAAACGAGAGTGAAGAACAATTTAGATGGGGGGAAAACCCTAACCCTAAATTGCACAGTGTATGGAGCAAACGGCGGCACGAAGACGGCGACGGCGGCCGAAGTTCTTGGTAGCAGCCAGGTGAAAGAGTTCAGTTTGGATCCGAGCGCCACTCCGTCCATTGATTGTACGTTTAAATGGGATGGGAAATCTCACGGGTTCCCAATATACGTGGATTATAGAGATAACCCCTACTGCCAACCTGAGTGCACTTGGAGCATCAAGCAAGATAAGCCATGTAGGGTTGATCCAAACAATTCTCAGATTATATATTATTGTGATTCTTGGATCAACTAATTAATCCACAATGAAATGTTTATAATACGATCATGATCTGTGTTTGATGATCGATGCTATGAATAAAAATCAGTAAAGAAATAGATATTTCGTCTGACTTTTTTTTCTTTTCATTTTTCTGTTTTTATTACGTTTTTAACTAATTTATATTAGTTTTATATATAATTTTTTCAAGATAATTTTTGGAAATAAAAAAACGAATTTTTTTTTTAAAAAAACAAAAGATATATGGAGTGGAGTGGAGTGGAGTGGAGAGTGCATGCAGCAACAATAGACGAAGTTGGCAAATCGGCAGAGATAGGGTGGAGGGCCGACTACTGCGAGTTAGGAAAAAAAGAAAACATGTTAAAATTGTTTTGAGTTTTTAATTTCAAAAATATATTTCTATTTTTTGTATTAGGAAAACCTTAATTAAAAATTAACCATCAAACAAGTTTTTTTTTTTATTTTTTGTTTTCAAAAATAAAAAATTATTTCAAAAAAAAAATCAAATAAGGCCTTCATATTTGTCTTCTTTTTCTCTCGTATCTTTCTTGTTGTTAGTTCACAAGCATTCACAAAACGATCTAAAATTTGTATTAAAATTTATTTTGTGTATATATAATAAAACAATTTTATTTTCTCTGAACAAATACCGAATTTGTTCTACGGCCCTTTCCTGAATTCGAGTCTGATCTATCTTGATATATATTCGTTCCTCTTAAAATCAGATTGGGTTATTTGCCCAAAAAAAAAAAGATTCGGTTAGGGTTAATGTGCTTATATGCCAAATATGATGCTCTCTGTTTGCCTGTTTTCTTAATATATTGTGTGTCGTGCGTGCTGGTGGCGGAAGTTGTTCTAGTCATATTATAATAATTTTATATTTAATACTACCGTCTATTTTTAATATAAGAGCTAGTTAACTAATTTAAGTAGATTAAGAAAACTAGTTTAAGTTAGTTATTCATAATAAATAGGTATTATATTTCTTAGAATATCCTTATTAATCAAGTGTATTAGTTGGAACTACCATTATTACAATGACTACTTTGATAAAAAAAAAAAAGATAAATATAATAAACAAAATAGATTAGAGTTTTATATTTGGGACTAAAATAAAAGTGAAACTGGTTCTTATATTAGGGACAAGACATATTACTACCTACTATCATTAATGTAAGCGCCAACGGATTAATTTGAGTAGGTTAAGAAAATTTGTTAAGTTAGTTATTTGTAATAAATATGTGTTATTCTTTCTAGAATATCCTTACTAATCATGTGTATTAAGTAGAACTACCATTTAACATGTGCAACTACTATAAGAATTACTTTAAAAAAAATAGATAAATATGAGAGATAAAAAAAATTAAGTTCTTATATGCAGAGCTAAATTAAATGTTAAATTAGCTTTTATATTAAGTACCAAAAGTAGTCATATTTTTTATAAAAAAATTAAAAAAATAAATTTGATAACATTTGATCTTGATTTTATATATAATACACAAATCATTTTAAATTTCATATAATATAAAATAAAATATATTTAATGTATATGATCATGTAGAAAAATTGATCTCAGCACAGTAATATATTCACATGAACCTAATTCTTGATATTACCTCAAGTTCTCAAATCTCTACTTTACCTAAGATTTTCTTTTTTATTTTTACAAACGCATGATAAATAACTTGAACTTCTATCAAAACGAGAAATCACCTATTGTTGGGACCAGAATGCTGTTTACGAGGAAAGTTTCATTTTAACACCGAACACACTAGATGAATTAATATTAGTTACCTCTCAAAATATTCTGAAATTTATTGCGATGAAATTAATTTGTTTAGTGGGGGTTTATGGAAATTCTTCCTAAATTTTAAATTACTTTTGGCATAACCCATAACTACTTAACATGAAATATTATAAACTCATATACTTGTAATGTTCATTCGCCGCAGACATATTGCCATTGTGTGAAAAGCAGTTAACCAATTCAGATGGGACATAATGAGGTTGCTCGTTGTTATACGGTTCATTCACCACAATGTTGTTTCTGTTGGAGATGAAAATTATGGTATTGGATGTTAACTAGCCAACAACATATTTAAGAAAAGAATGTCCAAGTGTCTGTAATATTGTTCGTCCACCAAATTTTTTTCATTCACAGACATGTGACCAATTGTTAAGAAATATTTATGAAAAGAATGTCCAAGTGTCTCAAGTATTGTTCATCCACCAAATTTTCTTCATTCACAAACATCTGACCAATTTTTTAGGTAGAGTAAATGTATGAGGCGTGAAGGATTTCTGTGACTTGAGCACATTTTATAGAAAGACCCTGATTTTAAATGGAAAGTGGCTGTTATTCAAGATTTACATGAGATGACAAGCCAAGTACTTCATTACTGCAAATTTAAGATTTGTGAGGGCATCATTAGAAATTGGGGGAATTATAATTAAGTCCCACAGAAGAGAAATAATTATCAAAAGGCCATAATAACAATCTCAACACCCTATAATGATAAGTCCTATAGTGAGAATGACAACTTTTGGGACTTGTTTTTCAATTGTTTTTCTTGCTTAGGACCTCATTGCAATTCTCCCTTAGAAATTATCTTGTTCTTCTTCAAACCGAGTAGGCCTTCATGATAAGTTGGATAGATTTGATTAAAATATTATAAAAAATATATACGCATGCTTATTACTTAAGAAGTTAATAGATAAATCTTGATTATTTGAATAGATAAAAAACTTATATAGAAAAATTAAAACAAATTAAAATTATATAAATAATAATTAAAAAAATCGGGCTAGACTGGACTGGACCAACTGGTCTAAAAGGTCAATTCCTAGTGTAGTCCAGCTCGATGAGACCAGTTCAATGTCCAGTCTGGTTTCAGACCAATTTTTTCTGGACCAAACTGGATCAGATTTGTTCGGGTTGTATTGGAACATACCAAACCACTGGGTTTTTGAACAGTCCTACTCATATGTATCTTGTTTTAAAATTATTATCATTTAATTATGAATTCATATCAACAAATAGAATAACATATGATTATATGTGATTACAAAACTTAATAGATATAAGAATCTTGATTTAAGTTTTTTTTCCCTCTATATGGTCAAAATGCATCTATTATTTATTTGTGCGTACGGATCTGGCGGCTATAAATTGATACGAAATAATAAGGATTAAAACACAAAATGAGATTTTATTTTCCTGCCTAGCACAAGTGAGATAGTAGGATATATTTACGATCATTGACAATTACGAAAAGAGTTAAAAGAGCATAAAAAGGAAAAGAGTCAGAGACTATTTAGAGAAAGAATTTTAAAGTTGAACTATTTTATGTGGAAAAGGGAAATGTACATGAGACTTTTAGAAGAAATGAAAATAATAATCCGTGATTAAAATTATTACGGTGTTTAATGCTTGCTTTTGAAAAAAAAATTGAGACAAATTAAAATACAAGCAATTGCATGTGGATATATATCCAACACAATCCCTCATTCACCGTGATTTTTTGATTGTGTTTTCCCAAGTTTCCATTACTCAAAATGATTACAAATTAATATGTAATAAAGCATTTACCATAAACGGGATCTTTTGCCATAGTATAAATTCTGCAAAACCTTAAACATAAACCTAATTCCCTACAAGAAAGAGACAGTAATATTCTGAGAAGCATCAAGAGAGGAGGAGAAGAAGAAGAAGAATGTCTATAAATCTCATGAAAACCATCCTGCTGGCAGTTTCAGTGCTTCTGATAGCATCAGATTATTCCGACGCAACTAAATCGAGGGTGGAGAACAATTTAGATAAGGGTCAAACCCTAACCCTAAGTTGCACATATTATGCAGCAAATAAAACCAAGATCGTGACGGTGGCCGGCGTTCTTGGTAGCAACCAGGTCAAAGAGTTCAGTCTGGATCCCAAAGTTACTCCTACCATTAATTGTACGTTTAAATGGGAAGGTGCTTCTGACCATTTCTTCCCAATATACTCGGATTTGAGGGATAATCCCTATTGTCTCACTGAGTGTACTTGGAGTATCAAGCAAGACCGTCCTTGTAGGGTTGATCCAAACAATTCCCAGATTACATATTACTGTGATACTTGGATTATCAATTAATTATTATCTTCATGAAATATTTATGTAATACGCATTGATCTGTGTGTTTGATATCCTATGAATAAATATCAACAAGGAAATAGATCTTTCATATTTGTCTTGGCTTTCCATATTTTTGGAGCTTTTTTTTTTATAAGCACATGTATCTGCCCGTTGAAAACAATCATGTTTAATTAAGATATTGCTGGAAACTAAGCTTAGACACATTTCCTAATAAGGATTTGAATTTTAATTTATCACGTTATGAGATATTGGATTTTTTTTATACAATAAAGTTTATATGAATTGGGTCCAGAGGGCTCATTAAGGTCATGGCCTTCACACTTAAAGAGTACTTACAGAAGTATTTATATATTACTTATCAACAAAATTTTTCTATCAATAATGAGATTCGAACTCAATCCATCACGGGCAAAGGCCACGAATGAATGGGCCGAAAAGCATGTTGAAGGCGGGTTTGAAGAACATAAGAGCAGGCCTGATGCTATGTGGGATTTTTTTTTCCCCCCAAAACAAGATATTGTTGCCCTTGTTTTGTTTGCGTTGTTAGCCGACAATCCGACATTGGAAAAAAGGTACGGACAGTTTGAGCCGATCCTCTCATCTACAGGTTAGTTAACTAATTTAATTAACAGATATTAAAGAAATTAATATAAATTAATATAAATAAAATTCAGAAAATTTATCCGTATTTACTTTTCTTTCTTAGAATTATACGTAATTTTTTTCCCAAAAAGACAAAAAACAAAAGTTACGTTAGGTTTATTTGAAATTTGACGTTTGCAAATATGATGGACAGGCAAGATTTTACAAACGCATGGTAAATAACTTGAACTTCTGTTAAAAAGAGAAATATCCCATATATCGTTGGGGCTAATACACAAACCTTGGTCGACTATGCAAATGAGTCCTAATTAAAATGGCTAGCTATTTGGTACTACCTCTCCAATTCTGAATAGTCACAAATATCTATTGGTGTCTCTAAATTACTACCTCCGCTTCTTAATATAAGAGCTCATTTAATTTTTATTTTGATTCTAAATATAAGACCTCAATCCATTTTATCTCTCATATTTATGTATTTTTTTCTAAGGTAGTTTTTGTAATAATAGTACTTCTAACCAATATACTTGATTAATAAGGATATCCTAGGAAAGACAATATCTATTTATTACAAATAATTAAACTAATTTTCTTAATCTATTCAAATTAGTCAACTAGATCTTATATTAAAGGTCGAAAGTACTAGAAAATACTTAAATAGACTAGCTATTTGGCACTATCTCCAATTCTTAATAGTCACAAATGTATATTGGTCTCTCCAAACTATTATTTTCAATCATATGCATTGAATAATTGAAATTATCTCTTGGTGAAAACTCATTGCAATCAATATGGGTATTATGAGAAAATATAAAAGACAAAGTGAATTGAGTTGTTATATTTATAACCAAATTCAACTCCTAATTATTACCTTCGGTTTTAATTATAACATCTTATTTGTAGTCTACAAACAAGGTCTTATAAATCAGGACCGAAGGCAATAATTCTTATATTAAGGTATTATTATTTACATGCTTACATGATTCATGCATATATACATATATTTATATATATGCAGACACACACACACATTATTGTATTATGTATAAAACTGAAAAAGGTGTCATAAGCATGTGAAGATATGCAATTATTTTTCCCAACGGATCCACTGTGCCCATTTGCGTGAGCGAGGGGAGAACGTCGTCGATTATTGTGGGCCCCACCATAACGACCAACGTCGCGCCAACAAGTCGTGCTCCTTTCCCCTCAGAACGTTGGGAAATTCCAGGTGGATTCCGCTTTTATGTATGGTAGGAACGAAAGTTTTGTGCACTCGTGTGTAGCTCTGTGTATTGCTCGCTGGCGCTGCTTGCATTGGCGGGTCGCAACAGGAGTGAGTTTTTGCATGCTCTCGATTTCCCCTTTTTTCTGTTTGCCTTCTTCATTTGAACATAGCCTTAGCTCAACTCTTCCAAACTCCTTTCGAGACATATCTCGCTGGCTCTCTCTGTCTCTCGCCATGTTTTACTCTCACCAGCTTCTGGCTCGCAAGGCTCCGCTCGGTCAAATTTGGTATACCTTTCACTCTGTCTCTTGCTCCTATTTGAACTTCGACCTTGCTGCTGCTACTGTTGTATGCGTTCTCTACTATATAGTTTGACATTTAAGCTTGTCAGTTTTCGATTATTGCTGTTTTCATGAAACAATGTGGAATGTCGATTGTGATTATGCTGCTTTCTCCTACGCGAGTCACTGTGCGTCTGTGTTTCAAGTGTATTTTAACTCCGGGTTCTCTGGCAAGTGAGTAAATACGATCGTAACTTCTTTGTCCTTGTGTTCTTGATTAAGGATGGCCGCGACTATGCACGCAAAGATAAACCGAAAAGGGCTTAGCAAGCTTAATATTATTAAGATCTGGTAAAAATCAGTTATCTGAGCTTCCCTCTTCTTGTACTGACGTATTTTTTATGGGACTGATTCTCTGAACTTATTTCCTCTGTTTTTCGTACAGCGAAGAGATTTTGAATCCATCAGTTCCCATGGCTCTTAGACTCTCTGGAATTCTCATGGGTAACGCGCACACACTGTCTCTCTAAATTTCTGTCTGCGATAATTTTCGTTTCCGTATCAATTGATAGGAAATCTCTTCTCATTGCCGTTGTGCTCAGGAGGAATTGTGATTGTTTATGAAAGGAAAGTGAAGCTTCTTTACGGTAACCTGTGAATCCCTTTTAGCTGTTTATCAATTCGGAGGATCACTACTCAATCATAATAATATTTGATCTGTTTTTCTCTTTTTATTAATTTTTCTCTGTTTTAACTTGTCTAAATATGTTCGCAGATGATGTTACCCGTCTTCTGGTACGAAGTTCAACTCGCATATTTCCAGTTGCTTTACCCTTTAATCCTTTTCTTAACTAAAACGTTCTCCATTTCGATTGTCTTAGCTTGAAATAAATTCAGCTTGGAAATTGAAGACAGTCCCAGATCCTACAATACTACCTAAAGGAAAATCCAAGGCCAAGTCAGTCATTCTTTCTCCAAATTATTTTTCGTTTTTCTTTCTAAAATTGTAGATTAGAGTATGGAAAATAACGGCACAACTTAATCAATAGCATGTGCTTTTGAGATTTTGCTAAAGCATGTGCTTTTGAGATAATTACACGTTTCAGATGGAACTAATGGAACGGAAGGCTTGGAGACGGTCAGCTTGTAGAATATTCATTCCTATATTTTTTGTCCGCCTTGTCTCCTATGCAGGAGAGAGTCTATTACTTTACCTGAGAATGAAGAGACAAATGTTGGAGACATTGAGCAATCCCTTCGATTTTCTAATACGGTGAACACAATGGAGTTTCAACATGCGGCCTACATTACCATGGTGCCTATATCACTTATTTACTTGGGAGTTTTATATTGGATGGTTTTACCCTATCATGTAAAAGAAGATGAAAATCATTTTTATGATAATCGCCTTATCGTCGTAACTTATTGCGTTATTTAATAAGCATGCGAGTAACAATCTCTCTGGGAAACGGACTTAGACGACTTAATTGGGAATTTTCTTTCAATAAAAATAGAAATTGCTACCCGAGGGACTAACTGAGACCTCCAAAGATGAACTCCGCGGGAGAAAAGTGATTTTAAGGGTAGTCACAATATGGTGATTGGTGAAGGAGTTTTTCTAAAACACTGATTGAAATCCCCCACACAACTCGGAGCTGATTGACGAAATTTCTTTTCATGTTTTTGCAGCGACTTGATAGTGTGGACGAACCCTACGTTTCTAGTGAAGCAAAGGAGCAAGATCCATCCCAACATTTTCATCAAGGTTTTTCTACTTCAATCTTCTTAGCATTTACGTACCGTGCAATTCGTTCATGTGCACGTATCCTGACTCTCATCATTCTCAGCTGACGCAGAGAATATTACCTTAACTGAACGTTTTGAATCATTCCAAGCTGCGGATCCATACGATCGCTTTGAAAGGTTATTTCGTTTTGCTGTCCTTATTTTGTTTACATGTATTCTTCTTTGTAGCACCTTTCCATCTTGTCATTTTGAGGCGAAAGATTGTACTATATATGTTCGTTACAATTGGGACACTGTTATCTATTGTCTAGTTAGATGAACCCAGCATTAAGATAATTTGTAATATTATCACCTCATGCGTTACTCTTTGTGAATGCTGCGGCAGGTTTGATATTGAAGGAGATGAGGAAACGCAAGTAAACTTTACTTATGGAGAGAACACTCAAATTCCAACCCTTATACCCTCTCCTCCCCATCAAGCTGATCCAACAGGAGGTGATTGAAACAACTGCTGTCTGCTTATAAACAATAAAATCTTCCATAAGGCAGTTTTCCTGCTTTGTTGAAATCATTGATATGTAAGGAACGTAAACTATATAAAATAGAAATTGCGAGAAGAAATATCACGTGTAGATAACATATTTATGTTATCTACACGTGATATTTCTTCTCGCAATTTCTATTTTATATGCCCAGGCAACATCAACCAAACTCATGCAAAATACCGCCATCTAAGCCAAAAAGGTTATAATAGTAACAGGATTAAATTTAATTTATTCAAGCAAAATTTCTTGTCACATCACTACAAAATTGCTTCTGCTTGCTGTGAAGGACATCTGTGCTATCTAATCTCAGCAAAACCCGAATTCTGTAAATATGTTTACCATGCTCACCTTCTTATGCCGTTGTCTCTTCCTTCCATTGGTTCTGTCTGCCTGTATGAAATTGTAAAATCATATGCTTGGGAATTAAAAGAAATTTTATTTGAACTAATAGTCACCTGTAGCATTAGGATTGCAAGAAATTTTAGACCAAAATACCTGGCCTGTACTATCTAAGCAATCCTACATCTCGCCGTGTCTCTTTCCTGTAGGAGTTGAATAACAATTAACCAAAAGTGAGGTAAAATAAATAGTGCTAATTTTCTTCAACTGGTAGTGTAATTTTTGTAAGAAATTCAGCTCCGAATTGATGAGTTCCGGCTTCAAAAGTGACATCTTTCTGTAGGAATTATGTTATTGCCCCCCGGGGTGGAGTGAGTAGTCAATTCTTGTTATTTTGAATGTGTTTCTGGGAAAGCACTGTGGCTGTATTATTACCCACGGAATAGCTTGTGGCAAGAAAGTATAGATTTTTTTTCCCGAAATATCGAAGATACTATTATATGAATGTAATATAGTCTCGTTCCTTCCTCTCGTCTGATCAGGATGCCCTTTCTTGATGAACTTGAACCAAAGATTTTGTTCCATGGTACTATTTGTTTCTAGTCATGCACGCATTCTTTTCTGTTACTGGTATTCCTGCTGGAGACTCATTTCCCAACTCTGTTAATTATTCACTTCCAGACATATGTTGCTTAGATTAAATAACCATTGCCAACTTTGAAAAAAATGCTTTGTCCATCTAACTTTTCTGCAACAGACATAATTCAAGACCAACATCCAGGATCCCAGGTCAATCAGCAATCTAATCAATGCATGGAAGAAAGACAGGTAGCATGACCACTTATCCATTCGTGATCTCCCTACCTGAGGCAAAGGAAAAATGACCAACTCGTTGGGTGAAAATGAAACAGGAACAGGGAAGACGGGGCCTTATGAAAAGGAAAAGAAGACAACCAGTAAGAAATGCAATGGATTATGAACAAACCATCATTCCTGTTCATTTATATCAGTCATGGCTGCAAAATGCTTCCGATATTGTCTCAAGAGGAAGGAAGAGAAAGGTTCATAATTTAATATACAGCAGTATGCTATCTTTCCATATGTTTTGCGTTGGGATCATGTATAGTTTCTTAGTTTCAACCAAACAGTCGAGATTCACAGATGAAGAATTGGATAACTTGTTATTGCATTATTTTATTAGAAAAATCTCTCATGAGGAGCGGAGAGTCTAACATCGTAAACATTGGAGATGAAATGAAGGGATGGCGTGAATAATTAACTAATTACTTACTTATGCAATACAATCCTGTTTCCTTTCTCTGTTGCAGCGCTCTGATATCATATCTAAAAGAAAGATAGCTAACCTCATGGAGCTGCCACCGGTTGTGCTAATCGGTAATTTATTTACAAGTGGAAGTAGAGATGTATATTATCCGCCTCCTATTCTAGAGTTATGGTATAAGAGCACTCAACCTTCCCAAGACTCACCATCAGGTCAGTGTAATTTTTAATTTTTTTTATTGGTGTCTCCATGCGTGTGCTTGAGGGCGGGGGTTTGGGGCGGGCGAGGGAGCGTTTTAAATCAGTTGTCACCAACAACTTGCACAACCTTACCATCATAATTCAATGTAGAAAGGACTTCAATACCCCAGCCTCCAGAGCCCTCATTTTCGTCACCTCCAGGATTACATCAAGACGATTTTGTTGGAATTGTAAGCTACATCTATCAACTTTCTATTTATTCATTTTAGAAATATAATTTCACTTATTTCTGTTGTATGTTGTAATGGGAAGCCCGTTGAAGACTTTCACAGCGGTTCAGACGGTCTATTAGCTTCCGTAGAGAAGCAACGGGACACTGTTCTTGATACTGGAATATTCATGGATGAACTGAGGGCTAATCTTGACAATGGTTCAAGAGCGCCTAAAGCCGCTACTCCTAAGGTTGCGTCGAGAAATTCTGGTATATCTATTACGTCTGGTTCAGTTATTCGGTCGTCCATTACTCTAAATTAGGTCTTGAATTGTCTCGTTTATGATTCGAGGACATGCCGTATAATTAGTTAATTTGTTCTTTCCGGTATTATTTTAGGAGATAGTGCAGAGTACTTTCCAAGATCGGTATCCGAACATGGTCTCTCCTCAGATTCAGACTTATTTATGGGCAGGTAATGAGATTATCGAATGGCTAATGAACCAACGGTTGTGTAACTAAAATGATAAATAGATACCGCGTAAACCGTTGATTATTTTTCAAGGGTTGGTCATTCTTTAGCCAGAAAAATGAGTAATCATTCTATCTTTTGATATCTGATGGCCATTTAGAGTTAAAGAATTGATCTTGTTCAAAATCTTGGGGTTAATTAAACTGTTAACAGTTTAAAGAAGAAAAGGCGTTCACCATCTAGATACAGCAGCAAAGGCCTCGAGCCAGTGGCTGAGAATGCGAATTTCAAGTTTGCTAGGTTGTCTGATTATGGTCTTACGCCTGATCCAGGTATGTTATTTCGTTAAAGATTTTCTAATTAATGATTTAAAAATGTTATATAGCGAGGGTCCACTTGGTGCATTCGGCAGCCTCACGAGTTTTACTTGCAGAACTATTAGTGGAAACGGGACGGACGCAAACGCAAACGCAAGCGCAAGTGAACTTCAAGAATCCTATGGACAACATGACTGATTCTATTAGAACGTATGATTCTATTTTAGGAATTTGTTTGCCCATAATAAAAGTAATTTTCGGTAGAATAAATAATTAACGAATACTTCCTACAATAATTGAATACAAAACAGGCATATAAAAGCTCATTTTGATACGCCAGGAGCTCCTCAAGTGGAATCCCTCGACGTCCTCGCAGCTGGAATGACTCGGAAATCAGCCGCCCTACTTTTCTACCAGACTTGTGGTATATTCATACATATTGCTTCACATTCGCGTTTTGATATTTTGGTATTTCTTAGCATCATGTTCCGATAGATTATCGATTGTCACTATGTTGTGGATATATAGTTCTTGCTTCCCGTGATGCCCTGAGAGTGGAGCAAAAGATGCCTTATGGGGAGATCCTCATTTCTAGAGGATCAAAATTGTGATGAAAGGTTGGACTGCCTCCTCACTTATGTCTCTCCTAATTCCGCGTACGAGTCTTAAAAAATATATACTAAGGTGAAAGAACGCAAGGTAATCACATATATGGATGTCCACCATTATACTTCTCCAATCCACGCTCGCAGGTTCTGCACGAGAAAGTTTGGTCGAAATAGCCTCAAGCACTCCTGCAAGGACGTTAATTACGCCACTAATTATCCCTCTTAACGTATAGCGCATAACCAAGACGAAGACTTCACATTTCTTGCGGTTGCTTCAAGTGAGATCCTTCCCGTTTTGTTCTGCCGGGGAATTCTATTCTCTTGAAACTCTTATTTAGTACTTTGGTTAGCGGTCTTCGGTTTTATTTTGCTAGCTGTTAGCTTTAGTTAGTACTTGAGGTTATAGCTGCATATGGGGTTACACCCTTGTTTTAACATAATTCCAGCTTTTCAACCAAAAAAAGGGACCGTAGCCTGAAATATATCTACTGTCATATGTTCAAGATTATAGTGAATATTTTGATTATTTTCATTTGGCGCATGTACTTTGCTTAAGAGAAATTAGCGTTAGCACTATTTTAGAAGATAGAAGATAAAATTTAAACTAAATAAAATGTTGGAAAAACATTAAAAATATATTTTAAATTGGTGGGAGGGGTTGCTAAACAAAATTATCATGTATACGTTATATTTTATTGTGCTTAATTACGTGGTATTGAGTTTTTTTTTTCACACATGAATCATTAATTATTATTTTTCCCCGTCAATTGACAAACAAAGTCCTATAAATTGATTTAAATTCAAAGAAAGACCTGAATCTTCATAGTAATAAGTACCTAGAGCCAAAAAAATGAATAATATAACAGAAAAGATGTATTATTATAGTAATGAATTTCGTTTAGCTAGATTAAGAAATGACATAGCATCTCATTTTTGGATCTTTGATCATCCACCCCTTTTGAATTCAGTGGTGGTTAGTGATGAAAGATTAGGTTGGCTTATATGACTATCATTTCACGTTTTTCATTTTCTAAATGAAAGTTTCTATTTCTCATTGGGGCTAAAAAAGATGAATTCTAGCCTATAACTAAAATAATGATGCTACTTATGCCTAGCAGATAGAAAAAGAGGTGTCCACGTTCAGTGTTCGATATGTCTCAAATAAAATTATCTCTAATAAAAAAAAAAGTGCTTGAAAAAAAAAACAGAGCTACGAGCCTCCAAATTGACGGTTATTGCTTCTAGCTATCACATCATTCGGCATCGAATTAGCAGTTATCTGTTTTTTTTTTTTTGCATAATTATCAATTATCAATTACATCAATATGTAAGATAATCATGACAAAAAACAACGTAAATTTCAATTCTGAAGGTTCTACAAGTCAATTTTTTTTACCAGAAGGTTCTACAAGTAATTGATGGGCGCAAATAAAAGTTGAAAAATCCCGGCTAAATAAGAAATAATCATGTGATAAATAGGGAAAATTCAATTCTATAGGCTCTGATGATAACTGTATTGTCTTACTTTTATCTCAAGAACAAGCTATCTTTCCCTTGCTTTTCTTTAATCCTTGGATTTTATTTTAAAAACTATTTTTTTTAAGTTCGCAAATCGCAATGACCAATGAATAACGGTCAGAAAGAAAATGACCAATGAGTAAAAACGCAAGGATCCTCCTTATTTACCTTGACTGTAAAGAAAAAACGAGAGAGACCGAGGGAATTCGATGCTGAGGGCTAAAATGGTCAAATGGAAGCATCTCTGCGTTCTTCTGCACTTACCGCCATAACTTGAAGACGTTGCACAGGTGTAAGCCATCAGTTTCTGTTACTTCTCGTATTCTCTGTTCAGTTTTGTTTCTTTAACTTTAATCACTTCGCGATCATCTGAGATCTACTCTCTTTGTGATCTTTCTTGAAACTTAGAAAAATCATCTGTCTTCTATTCTTCTTGATTCTCCATGAACTGCTTCTGAATTACGAGCGAAAAATAAAAAGATAACGAAATGAGGCATCGAATTGGATTCCATTTTGCGAAATTTAAACTCAAAACTGGACTGGAGTTAGGTTTAGGGCTTTTGAGAAGATCGTTTGCTAGTGACCAAGGAAAGAGGTCAGCCGTGCTGTGGGGCAATGGCGATTATGGGAGATTGGGTCTTGGAAGCTTAGATTCTCGGTGGAGACCTGCGATTTGCTCTGCGTTTCATAATCAAAGCCTTAGAGCCATTGCTTGTGGTGGTGCACATACTCTCTTCTTAACAGGTTCTCCTTTCATTACTCTCTCGCTAGTAAACCAACTTCATTCTCTGTGATAGAAGTAATTTCAATAATATTATTATCCTTTCTAATTGAGAAAACGGCTGTCCTCTTGATGTCATGGGCAGATATTTGGCACCGGTAATTTGCTCCTTCAGAAGTGCTTTTTAGCCCAAAATTTTCTTGAATGTCACATTATCATTGGATGTTCTGCTGTAACTTTCTTTTTGCAATTGCAAACAACAGGCCGTCTACTATACCAAATGGTTGAAGAATTCCATGACGTATTCCGTTTGTTGAATACTAGAACCTTTAGAACAAATGTACTTATGTCAAATGGCTAGAATATAACAGTCTTTTAATTGTTGATGACTTTTGAAGATTCAATGTAATTGTCGGAGAGAGGCTCACTATTATCCTCCTGTCACAGATGATGGACGTGTTTATGCCACTGGTCTTAATGATTTCGGACAGCTCGGCATATCTGAAAGTAAACAGTACTCAGTGGTAGAACTTCTAGATCTCATACCTGTAAATTTTTAGTGTACTTTTCACATTCGTAACAGGTTGTGCTGTTGTTCAGCTTTTCTTAAGACTTTTTCCTCTTAATCACCTCTTCTTTCAGTAATTCCAACTTTATAATTAAAAGATAAGAAAATGCTATGAACCCTTTTTTTGGTGAAAGAAAAAAAATGCTATGAACTTTGCACGTGACACTTTCGCTATTACCATTGCTATTCTCAGAATTTATATAATTGTGGATGCATGGTAAAACTATCATATTTTCTCAACTTTCAGAGCTTAGTCTGCTAGATTTTGCTGATTTCATGTGTTTTCATTTCTCTTGCCAATTTGATGTTTGTTCTATTTCTGTCTTCACCACTCACACAGCACACACACACCCCTAGTTTATATTGGCATACCTGCCCCAATCTGACTTATTGGAAATAAATTCCTTAATTGTTCATGTTGATGCAGGAACCAATTCAGGTTTTTGGATTGAAGAAGGAAATTGTGAAAATCTCTGCTGGTTATAGTCACTCATGTGCAATTACAGGTCTGTGCTATCAGATTTCTAGAGATGCTATTATCAACCATACCATTAATAACTAGGGTCAACCACTAATATTTGAAACTGGTTGGCAGTTTTCAAAGGCAATTGAAAAACTGCTGTAGAATAGCAATAAAAGATAGAAAAATGTAATGACTTAGAAATTCAATATTTCAAACACTGAAATTAACCAATATAATCTTGCAATGGAAGGATAACTAACGAATGTTTTTCGAAACCCATAATGATTTTTATATCAGAATATGACCTTTCTTTTTTCAGTGGATGGAGAACTGTACATGTGGGGAAGGAACACGAGCGGACAGCTTGGACTTGGAAAAAGTATGAACAGAACCTTATCTTTGGTCATCTTATTTGTAATTTCTTAAACTTGAAACTGCTACTAGCAGTAGCTATTTAGGCACTCATAAGAAAAGAGCTGAAGACAACAGATTGATTTGAATATGTAATTCCTCTTGTGAAACGCAGGAGCTGAATCTGTAGTTCCTCTGCCAACTAAAGTGGAATTCTTGGACGGAATCAAGATTAAAATGGCAGCTTTGGGTTCGGAGCATTCGTTGGCTATTAGTGGTACGCAATTCAACATCCTTGGTTTGTTTGTTGTTGAGGTTGTTTTCTCTATTTATTTTTTCACTTCGGTAATGTTGTAGATGAGATTGCAGTGTCAGTCTCAAGTTGTCACGTGAAGAAGTTTAAAATTTATAGATCAGAGTTCTGAAATTTTACGTAGAAATGGATTTGGAGTTTTGGTTTTTGGTTCAACCTGTCTAAGCCAAAACCTTTCTCTAGTAGGAACTAAAAAGTTACTACTTCTAGTTTTTAATATAAGAGCTACTTAACTAATTTGAGTAGATCAAGAATGCTAAATAAATTAGTTAACTATAATAAATGTGACCTGACCTGATTTTCCTACAATATCCTTGTGTAATATTAGATTATATATATCAAATTATCAGTTAAGTAAATTAGTTTGGAGAAAAATGATAAATATAGGAAACAAAGTAGACTGAGGTTTTATGCTTGGGACCGAATCCAACCTCTCTACTAGCTTCTATATTAAGGACTTAGAGGGAGTATCAAATGATTTTATAGTGGCATGGATATGGCAATGTACTATTGTGTTCCCGTGAGCCATATTCCTGATGCAAACAGTAAGTTGTAAGCTGTCATATTCACATGACTACTGTGACGTAGATTTACACAAAATAATACAAATAATGCCATGCAAATCTTGCACACTGTTGGACTTAGTTATGTTTTGGATTTCATTCTGGAAACAAAAGAGGGGTTAGAGGGCTGCATTTGAACATCGCTTTCGTTCTTCTTATTTAGATGTATGAAGCTACAACATGATGCCGCCATGATTGACTACTCACTTAAATCGTTGACCTCACAGAGAAAATCTTAATGCTAATGTACTTGGGTCCTAAAATAGACATTGAGCCAAGACCAACAAAAAATTTTTATGTTTACCTTAGATTTGGTGAAGACTGCATCAAGATACTGTCTAGTATAGGCTGCAAATTCAAAATGATTGATGGGTACTCTTAATTCTTTCTTGATCTGTGCTGGCTTTTTTTTCCTTCATAGTGCTATTATATCACATGTTTTGATTTTAATTCTAATTCTAATTGTACTAAATCTGTTCTTACTCACTTCATATAGCGTGTTTGAGTCCTCATATTGCCTTATAATGATCCTTCATATCTTTAAATTTTGTTTTCTTAGATGGAGGAGAGGCCCTAAGTTGGGGGATGGGAGGATCTGGTAAACTTGGTCATGGCCACGAGTCCAGCATTTTGGGATTCTTAAGAAGTAACAGGTTACATCTTCTTCTTTATTTTTAAAAGGATAACTTTCTTTTTTGTTGTATTAATTAAAATATTTTTTCTTTTTTAGTTTCTATTTTATTCAACTAATAGTCTGTATGAGGTAAATGGAAGGAGGAGAAGAGAGGAGAAAATTTTAATGAGTTCGATTTTTAGAAAATTCAAGAAGTGGGGTTATAAAATTTTAATAAAGAGAAGATGTGAGATAAAAGAGTAAGGAAAAATTAATTAAAAGCTTTTAACTCCACTTCTCCAATTTTCTAAAATGGAACTAATTAAAATTTTACTTCCCCTCCCCTCCCCTCCCCTCCATTTTCCTCATACCAAACAAGACTTAAGTCAAAGAAAAGATGAGAGTTAGTATAACTACCGTTGGTATCACAAGAAACATCTCCATTGAAATGGCTATGTCAATAATTATTTTTGTTTTATGGCATGTTTTGAATAATGCAGTGAGTATACACCAAGGCTTATAAAGGATCTTGCAGGAGTCAAGGTGTGCTGTTGAATTTAATATTTTAATGTTGTTTGCTTCCAAGATGGATGTATTAGCTTGAAGATATTAATTGTTATCTCTCTTATTTTGGCCTCTATCTTTGTGTATGCCTAGGTTACATATGTAGCTGCTGGATTGCAAACTTCGGCTTGTACAGATGGTATCTGATGATGATGTTTTTCCCCCATTATTTAGAAAACATATTTTCTCTAATCTGTGCTAACCTTGGTTCTATCCTCCATTTATCCTTTGATCGTATCTCATTCATGTAATTTTATGCAGAGAATGGTTCTGTTTTCATATTTGGTGAAAAAGGGATTGACAAGTTGGTATGTTTGACAAGTCTTTTTTTTTTTTTTTTTGCTTGCATCTTTTTATCATATATTTTGCCATACATACCTGTAATGAGTATTGATGTTTTATACAAAATATTTAGCGCTTTGGAGGGATGATAATGCAACGAAGCCATCATTGGTTAGTGAACTTCCATGCTCAGAAGAAGTTGCATGTGGTGGCTATCACACCTGTGTGCTTACAGGTAATTCATTAGTTTCTCAGATTAAGCATGTGCTAAAATAGTGATCATGTTTATGGTTTCATTTTAATTCTTTGTTTCCCTATAGATTCTGGAGAGCTTTACACTTGGGGTTCAAATGAAAATGGTTGCCTTGGCATTGGGTAACCACTTGAATTTTTGAATTGATTACTTGAACAATTCCTTTTTCTAAATTCTATTTTTGTATCTTATGCTTGTCTTCATTTTTTTTTTTTGTAATTTCTAGTTCCTCAGATGTTATTCATCAACCTGAAAGGGTTCTAGGTCCGTTCCTGAAGTCCCCTGTTAGCCAGGTTTGTACTGTTATTCATCCTCACGGTTGATTTCATGGAGATTTTGTTTGGAAGAGCAAGAATATGGTTAAGAAAGTTGCAAAGATAGTGGTATGCAATATGATAGATCAGAGAAGATTTTGGGCACTAGGTCTTAATATTAATGTTGAACTTCGTTTTCTAATATAGTTAGCTTGCATTGGTTGATAGAATTTGTTATTTTAATATAGCTAGCTTGCATTGGTTGATAGAATTTGTTATTTTCTTACGAATGATCTGGTGCTAAATTCAAGGGGAAGTAAAACTTGGGATACTCTTGTGTAACTGCTGATCTTTTATGCTATATTTAATAATCAGCACATAGAGTAGCTGGGCCTTTCAGAACGAACTTGCCATTTGAATTTGCATTATCTTTTTCCATATCTGCTTTGTACATTGGTGTTATGACTGCATTTATCAGTGAAGCAGATGCATTTTTAGTTAACCTGTTTGTGTGCCAGATAAATGCATGTAAATAATCAAATATTAATGACTTCCTTGATGCATTTTTTTCCGGCACCATTGATGATCTTATGTTACTTCATTTGTAATGCAAACAAAGTATAGGATGCGCATTGATTCAACACTTAACTACCCTTCAAAATCTTTGAGTTATCTACGTGAAATGGCAGTGGGTGCAATTGCTGCATAAACTGTAAATAAAAATGTTTGACATGTGATAATCGAATCAGTATCGAACTCATGTCTTTAACTTGCCGACTCTTTATCCATTTCGTATTTCAGTATCCTGTGGTTGGAAACATACGGCAGCAATTTCTGGTAAGACCCCTCCGCCACTTCCTCTTGGAAAGATAATTTCATAGAAATCAAAGTTACAGAATTTTGTATGAGAATATATTGACATCATCTTTATTCCCTCTTATCTTGGTATGTTACATTATCATTTTGATGTTTCATTATTGCTATTAGTGTATCCTTTGGTAATATGCATGTTACTTCTGCCCATAATAATTTTTACTGTGTAATTTGCAATACTTATAATTCTTTTATCACTACTTGTATATAAACTCAATATATATATTATGAACAAAAATCTTTTCATGCAACACATAGGAAATAAAATCAAGTTGTTTTTATAGATCTTGTGGTGCATTGTAATTGACCTATTATGAAAGTAGACACATTCTCCCATGCAACTGAAACATAATGTTCAGACTTATGAATAATGTGACTCAATTTTATCATTTAAGGTTTATCGTGCAACTTGTGATATATTTTATTACATACAATGATATATTAATTAAGAGGGGAAAGGCTCAATTAATATTTTGGCCATTAATTTTGTTTTGTTTCAATTTGATCTTTTAACGTCTAATTTACTTGGACCAAAAAAAAATTTAATTATTTTCACATCTTCTCTATTCCATCAGGTACTTAGATCTAGTTGAGAAAGATTACATGGCATCCACATGTCTGTCAAAATCTAATGTGGCACAAATAACTCCGGTTTAGACAACTCAAGGGGTCAAACTTTCTCCATCTCTTTTTTGTTGTCTCTTGCCTCCTTTTTCATTCTCTCTATATTGGTTCTTCCATTTTAACTTTCTGTGGTCATGGTGGCAATTCCTACAATTTAAGTTGAATTAATGTGCTGTCTAGAGATTATGGTAAGCCACCATCTCTGTCTTCGTTTTCATCTCTAGCTGATTCTCCCTTTTGTATGTATTTCCTTTTTTATGTTCATATTCAGTTATTTTAATTCATAGTAGTTGAATAATCTGGAATCAAAGCCTCATCATAGGATTTGGGGCGATTCTTTTGAGCTTAGTTCAGTTCTAGATGAATCATGTCCAAAATGCTGTCAAAATAAAAATTTAAGGAAAAAAATTCAATGGCAGGTGTGAGGATTTTGAAGTCTTGGATTAATTATGTTTATGCTTAGAAGTTTTGATAGAGTACCATTAGGATATGTTTAAAGACCAAGTGAAGTTACTATGTTAATCCGTTTTTCCCCCCTTCTTTCCTGGTTTTAATGGATGTTTAATTGAACATGTATAAAGTCTCTGTGAGTCTTTTTATTTAATGTAAATTTAAATTTTAACTCAATATGCTTCTCCAACGAGGGCGTTGACCTTTTAAACTTAAGTAAATTGAAATTAACCATTTGAGACTGTTGATGTAGTGGCCTTACGGTGGTTAACTCCCAGATCTCCTCTGGCCATTTCGCCTCTGCTCTCCCACCATGACCTGAAAATGGAAGGATGGAGATGGGAGATAAGGAAAAATGAGAAAGAGGAAGAGAAAAATGTTTGACTTGGCTGCCTAGGAGATTATTAGTGCTATATCAGATTTTAACAGACATGTGGGTGCCATGTAAGCTATGTGCCTATGTCAAGTAGGAATGTTAAGTATCTTACAGAATATGACAGAGATGATGTAAATTAGAAGTTAAAGTATTTAATTTAAACAAAGCAAAGTTAAGGGATCAAATTGAAACAAATAGTGAGTTTTAAGGCACCAAAATACTCATGAAAAATATAAAAGGACTTCTGTAGATACGATGGGAAATAGTAGCATTAACAAATCATTGATGAAAGCAGTTTGATTTGTTGAAAGAGTTTGGAGACAAACGAGACAAACAACTGTAAGGATAAATTAATTTTTTCTCAGGAAAAGTGCAAAAAATTTAGAGGTCAAGACTTTCTAAGCATATTTTGGAATTGAAATATTGAAAACTTTAAGAGATCAAACCTGGTATAGGTTGGGTTCAAGTGTAAGTGGAACAAGTCCTAAACTGAGTTAAAATGGACTAGACGAAAGTTGTACAAGTAAAAAGGACTCAATTTAATTCCTTGAGATCTTGGGTCAAACAACAGCGTCAATCCCACTTATATAGTTTCCTGAGGAAAGCTCACTTATGATTTCTCTAATGTCTTGTGCTTTTCCGGACTCCAACAGTATCCACAGGTGAAGATTAATGCCTAAAACCATTGGCAACAAGAAACGAGAAGTCAAGATTATATTTACGTTCTCAAAGTGCCATTAAGTCCTCCTGTCGTTCATGCTGGGAATTTGGAATTCCTGAGTGCCCGAAAAATTTGAAAATTAAGGAATAAGTTCATGCAATAAAAAAAAAATGATTTCGTATTTTAGGCAGTTTAGTTTTCTGTGTTATATCCATGAATACTCATGATCCCCCTTGACGTGCTAGGAATGGAAGTTTTCTTTTGTTTTTTTTCCCCAACAATAAATTGGAGAAGACTTGGAGTTAGTCATCACTCAAAGTTTCCTACCTAGTGGTGAAACTCAAAATCATTTTCTCTGGGTTATTTGCGAAAGTAATTAATCTTTTTAAAGAAAAGGTGTAAAAGATGCTAAACCCTGGGTTTTGTCAGTTTTGTCGAGTTCTGCTTAGAGGAGTGGCCTTTCGGTGGACCTCACGTTATAGCTAGCCATCTGTTTGAGCGCCCAACTGAAGAGACAACTCTCTTCCGATCTAACTTCTTATTTGTTATCATTAAAACTTGATATTTTGTTCCTTGTGCTCTCTTGATGGTTGATTCACGTGCTTTTGATGTTTAAGTTTTATTGTTGTTGGAGAGAACTAAATTTTTTTTGTTACTCATCTTGAATTCCTTGTTGTCTTTTCAGAAGGAAAAATCTTTACGTGGGGCTGGGGAGGTTCTCATGGGACTTTCTCCGAGGATGGACATTCTTCGGGTGGACAACTGGTTTGTCTCTTCATGCCATAATTAAATGCCTTTTCTTATTAGATATTTCTTGAGAAGAATGCCCGTGCGCACACATTATGGATGCTACTAAGACATGGGTCACAAGACATATTCAAGAATTTCCTTGTGTCACTCTCCAAATAAACAATTCTTTGTAATTACCAAATATACACCACACCAATAAGCATGCAGGGAAGCTTTCGACATTCTAAACATTGTAATATGTAGGGAATGTCTAATCGGATTACAGTGAGACTAACACTTTTCTTTCTTCAGTTAATTTTTTTTTTGTTTGGTTTTGTATGTATGCTATTGTCTGCCAATATGATTTGACTTCTTATGCTTTCCGTTCAGGGTCACGGAAGTGACGTGGACTACATAAATCCAACAAAGGTTTCTATTGAGGAGAATATGAAAGCAGTGCAAGTTTCATGTGGATTCAATCATACAGGTGCTATAATTGAATACACCTAGGTTTGGCTGCCCCAATTATATATGCTTCCTTGCCAATAGTCAACAAAATTAAACAAACATGAACACAGCAGTGATGCCATGCATTTGTTCATTTTATTTATGTTACCATGTATCTTTCATAAATCTCACCAGATGAACACAGGATCCTTCTTACACACACGACAGGCTCTAGGAAGTGGCGGCTTAACTTAAGTGGGGCATACCCATATATTGTATTTATTTTTGTTTCACAGGAAGACAAGAACATGCAATGTATATGTAAATAAAGGTTCGATGATGTTCGAGTTGTGTAGATCAGTGCTGGAAATAATAATAATTAATAAAAAAAAGACGGATAGCTCATATTATTCTTCCGTTGTGTAATAATTTTATTTTCAGTTTTATGGTTTATCCGTCTTTTACTTTTTTTTCCCTGGTTTGATATTTGGGATCTGGACTCTAACCCCTCAAAATAGAATGACGGTTGAGTGGGCGCCATTCTAATTACTCATGATGAAGCAATTAGAGGAGCCCATGCGTTGCTAATGGTCACGCTACGTGCAGATGCTTTCTAGCACTCGGTTTGAAAAGGTACCCTCTTTTCCGTTTTTATGTTTTGGATGGATCTTTCTGCTCATGTTAGGTTAAGCATATGGGTATAACCTCGAACAGTGGGCATATCTTACAGTATTCAGTTTGAGTTTATTACTACTTTATTTCGGTATCATCTGGTTTTAATTGCGTAATAGCATAGCAGTGACAACTCTGTCTCCCCTATAAATTCATTTTCCTTTCGTCAAAGGAATTTACTTACTACTTCGTTGTGGATGTTGTGATTATGCAATCACAACACAAATGTTCTTTAAAAACATAAAGCTCGGCGGGGGGATCATGAGTTTTATGTGAGGAGTGCAGTTCAGACGCTGCATTAAAGTTGTCTAAAAACATCTTTGGATTCCATAGATGGAGACATGCACACATCTTCATACATAAAAGAAAAGCATAATAAATGCCTGCAGTGATAAGTCAAAACATTGGGACATAGCTTTCCTGTTAAGTCTATGCCTCGAGAATTGAGATTCTGAGACCATCTCAACACCCTTCCTCTTGATTATTGCCGATGCCTTGGCTTTCCCTGTGTTCTAGTTTACGGAGGTGTTTGGATAAGAATAAAATCATGATTTCAAAAGTTTTTCTATAGCATATAAAATAAATATGTGGAGGAGTTTGTTTCAATTCGTGAAAAAATGCTTTTAAGAAGTATTTTTGAGGTTAGTCAAACACCCCTTATCTTTAATTGTATGGAATATTGATAATCTGTAGTAGCAGATCATGAATGGAGAGGCACGATATATCGCGCAAGGGAATTGCGTTATATCGTATCGTAGTAGATTCGTATTCGTATGGTTGGTGGGAATTGCATTATGATTAACTCATAATTGGAGTAGGCTGGCGGGGGGGTGGTGGAGGGTGGTCCCTACATGAACAGGGGAAACTCCATCTGGAACCAATGGTGGTCCCCCACGTACCCCACCTGTGAAGACAACCCTGGAGTCCACGTGCTGTTGTCTCTGCGGGGATTGGCCCCACAATGAATCCATCGTACCAAAGAGCATTAAATGGGATCACGTGGCAAGGCCTGCAGCGTACGATGCAAGGAGGATCTGAGCCGTCGGATGTTCGTCTGGGGGTTTGACTCTGAAGTTAATGGGCATAGGTGTAATATTTATTTTATATTTATTATTTATGGGCAAAGAGAGGGGGAGTGGTACTACTGGCTAACTGGGTACTGGCTGGCTATGAGAAAAGAAAAAGAAATTAAATGTGAGATTGTGAAATATGTGAGGGGGTTGGTTGGAAGAGGAGTAATGGAGTGTGTATTGGTAATTGGTAATTTCTGCTCCTCGTTAATCGGGCTGTGTTTCTCGGTCCCCGATCCTACGCTCCCGCTGACACCGACATGTCCGGGGTCTACATCATCCTCGCATCACCACCGTCCGATCACTCCCTCTGGACGGTTGCGATCTCATGATTCCCTATTCGCCGTCTTTCGCATGACGTGTTTCACGGAAGACACTGTTGATGGTCACAGCTATTACCATGGATAGATGCATAGATTGACGGGGGGGGGGCCAAGCCAAATCCATCCCGAAACCAAAACCAAAAACCAAAAAACCTTGTACCAAAAAAAAAAAAACGACACAGTGGGACCCTCCCATTTTCCTCCAAATTATTAATATTATTAATTATTGAAAATGAGGGAACTCTGAACAAACTCTCCGAAAAAATGTTTTACTCTTAGAATCAAGATTATATCTTACTTTTGGTTTAAAAAAAAAAAAGGATTATGTTTTACTACCCTGGGAGTTTTAGTTTTAATTTGAATATTTTTTCTAAACTTAACTGTTGAACAGTATTTTTATACAAGCTTTCGCTTAAGGCTTGAGATTAAACACGTCAAAAAAAATTTCAGAACGGACGAGTGTACTCCATGCATTTATTGACGGACATTATGGAAATTGAAAAATCAATGTTTACTATACATCATATATTTATTGTTGTAACAAACATTCTACATTATTTCATGAATTGTGGGTGGTTGAGGGCTGATGAGTTATAACGGGTAAAAAAGCAGAAGAAACAGGAGGTTTTTTTTGGACAAAAAAATTAAAAAAAAAAAGAAGAAGAAGAAGAAACAGGAGTATGCTGTGTGCATGAACTGAAAAGGAAAAAGTAATTGTAATTGTTATTTAAAAGCAATGCTTACACTGTCTATCCGGAACAGAATAAATTATTGGAGTATAATTTTTTTGAAATTAATTGAATTTTTCTCAAATCTCTTATTTTGAAACCTACAGTCCAGTCATATTCAATTTATGCACTTGATAAAGTCCATTTTTTACTTATTTTCTAAATAAATTATTCTTAATTTAACATCAACTTGTTACTATCATCCTACATCCAGTTTTATTTATAAGCTTTAAATTTAAATAAATATATGATTCATTTTATAAATTTTAATTTGAATTTATGTCAACATTTAATATAATAATATATTTTTCTAATTCTGTCTTTAATTTTTTATTTTCTCTCTTTTTCGTCTCACTCTCTTTAACTACATTTATATATATATTCATTATTTTCTTATTTATTATAAAGACATTTAAAATTAGAAATATACTTATTTATTATTTTTAACTAATTTTAATTGATATCACACCATACGTGCAAATCGATTGTTATAAGCTTATATAATAATCACAACAGAGGAAGTGACAAAATGAGGTTATGATTTTATAATGCTATCTAAAGAATTACAGTAAGTTTTTAATTAAAAAATAGGCTAATAAATAAGCAAGGACCAATAAATAGAGAGAGAGAGAGAGAGGAACGTGATTGAGGACGTTGGCCGTGCGGGCAAGGAGTGGTACAGAGGAATTTGAAAGTAGGAATTGCAAAAAGCTCAAAATAATAAGGTAATGATGATAGAATCGCATTCAAAGCCGTGACAGAGTTTTGTCTCGTGTCAAGTTTCCTTTTTATATTTTTTTCCCTTGAAAATACCCTTTTTGTCTCCTTCTTCCTCTTCCTTCTTTTTGGCTGTTGCTAGCAGGTCACAGGTCGTAGGGTTACCGGCACCACCAGGTCAGCAGCAGCACAAAGCTTTCCGGAATTCAAATAAACAAATCACCGCATTTGTTACATTGTGTGCATAATAAGTATTTATATATTGATATTAGTGGGGTCTCTTAAAACTCAACTCTCACTGAGGTCAGGTCATCAAGTACGATGCTTTGGGTTTATGTTCTTGGTTAAAATGCCGTTTTGCATAAGCTAATTTTAGGAACATCTGAACGGTAAAAGCCTACAAGAAAGAAGCCCACCATTAGTAGTGAGTGAGTCAGTGCTCTCTCTCTCTCTCTCTCTCTCTCTCTCACCCTAGCTATATATAAGAAGGTACATTGTGGGTTAGGGTTATTGTGTAAACTATTCTGAGTAGAGAAAATAGGTGTGTTCTTGTTTGTGTGGTTGAGGGGAATGTTGGCTGGCTCGAGGCTTTTCCACAAAGGAGGTTCTCTCTCAGAAGAACTATTAAGGCTTCGGACCAGGCTTCATTCCCCTCAAATTTTTGCTCTCCCTTTCTGGGTTTCTTCACCCCTCGTTCTCCTCCAGAGCGATTTCTGAGTTTGAATACTAACACATGCTAGCTATGGATTAATGGCTCTCCGATCCATCGCAAAGGTTAGGTTGAGAGGAATGTTGTCTGGCTCGAGGTCATGAACAGGAGTTGATTCTCTTGCAGTGATTGCTCTTAGATCACTCTCTTAAGGGTTCTCTGCAAATTTAGTAACCCTAAAGTGATTCTCGGACCAGGCTTCATTCCCCCCAGCCAACTTTTGCTTCTTTTGCCATCTTCACTGCTTAATTCTACTTCTCAACGCTCATTCCTCTTCATCTTCTTCACATGTATATTCGTCCTGGTAAGGCTTTTTCCCACAGTTCCCGTGTGTTATATACGAGTATTTGCTATGTTGATACAGTTAACCATTCTAGTTTTGCATACTGCTTAATTAAAACATCAGATCATGCCAAACAACAAGGCTCTCCTACTCCTGGCTGTGGATTGCAAGGTCAGAATTATATGCACAACCATCACTCACATCAGTTATAGATGCATGTTATAAACTTGCTTGGTGTGATTAGATATTCATGTTTTTGAAGATTTTCACTTGACCAGCTTCAGTTTGTGAATTGCTGCCTCGGTTTTTAAAATGTAAGCAAATTTTAACAAACTCACGCACAGTTTAAGAAAGTGAGAGTAGAATAGAACTGCTTTCCCCTCCCTCAGCTCTCTCTCTCACACACGATCACACACAAAGACAAAGATATGGTCACCCGCAAGAGCCACCACTAAAAAGTCTAGGATTCTGTTGTTAATATATCAAACCAAATATTTAATGGACACAGTGAATGTATTAATGTGTTGTTATTAATTTATTGGCAAAATTAATCACCATCGAATGTTCACTTCACGTGGACAAGATAGGTGAAATAATGTGCTGTGTAAATCTATCATCAGATGGATGGATGGATGTGAAATTCTTTACTTAAGTCTACTTAGCTAACTAGGTTCTACTACTATTATAGCTCAGTTGCCTTCTAGGGTTTCGAAATATATTATCCTCCTTCTTTCTGAATCTCTTTCAGCTTTTTGGAAGTAACCCCCCTTTTAGCCAAAAATGTAAATATTTGCAGAAACCTCGCAAATCACCCTGAAATGAAGCATCAATTTCATGAATCTGAATATCCTACAGGTAAATCTACAGTTTCCCTGTAAAGGCAGTAATAACCTTATTAGGAAGCTTCACTCTCACCTGGGCTTTTAATATCCCATAATTTTCCGTGGAACACTTATTACTGTTCATATTATTTTGACGTAATCTGCTTTATAATCAACTTTTAAATGTTGCTTGCTTTGCTTGCTGCTGAATTTATTGCCTTTTTTGTTTTGTAGTGAGATGCCCTTCATTATTGAAGACGCTAGTCGGTGAAGAAGCTGCTGTATTCTGAGGCATGATAAGGCACATGTATATCTCAATCAACAGGAGTGAATAAAGATGAATCACATACTACATTATCACTCTCTATAATTGTATCATATTGTTTCTTCTTCTTTTTTTTTCCCTTCAATCAGATGTAATTTAAAGGTCCCAAAAGCGACAAATAATAAAATGTTCCATATATGCTGGCCACAAGCAATTTCAAATTCAAATCTTCTTCATGTAAACTAGACCAAAAATAGTATTCTGATGTGTCTACCCAAGAAAAAATAGTGTTCTGATCTGATATACTAATGCCTTTCAATTGTTCATTTATATTAAAAAAATAGAAGGGTGTTATTAAATAAAAATAATGTTAGTATATTATTTTTACCAGAGAATAAAAACGAAAAAGTATTGTAATTAAGTGATACTTGGGAATCCCAATCCCAAGGGTTGGTGAGAACTGAGAAGCTGCTGAGATCTCTGTGAATGAATGATCAATAAACTAAAAAGGAGTGAAGATGCCATGGAAAGAGATGTGCTGGAACAGTTAGCGAGAAATGTATAAAACTGGAGAAGCTAGCTAGGGATTCTCTTACACCATGCAGCTTCCATTATCATTACGACCCGCATATATATCTGCAACACAAGCTGATGCAAACTAAACCTGGAAAACTGAGAAAGAAATAAGAACAAAAAAAAGTTGTGTGTTTTAGTGTAACATATTTATGAGGCTTTCAAAGTTGTTGAAAAATCAGAAGCCATGTTTGGAAAAGGCTGGTATCAGCAATAGCAGCTTCTTCTTTCTTCTTTCTTTTTCTTCTTCGTTACCGTGGAGTCATAGTTTGTATGCAGAGAAAGGTGTGTTTTTTTAGAGAGGTTTTGAAAAGGGAAAACATGACAGAATGAGGAGTAGTGAGTGAGTAAATTAATGACGAGCGTCTGACGCGTCTTGGGAAATGAAACGAAGAAGAAAGAGAAAAGGGTGTATTACTATTAAAGAAGGCAAAGCAAACAATATTGCCTTTATGTGCGTTGACAGCTTCTTCCTCAATTTCCATTCAACCAATATCTCTCTCTCTCTCTCTAAAAACAGGTTTTCAATTTCCACTGGCTTGCTAGCCACTCAACTTTTCTGCATCATACAAGTACACGTACCCTAACACTAGTAATAAATCTCTATATTGTGAAATTAGAATCAGAGTTCTTGAACAAAATGTGTACCTTTTTACTACTTTCTTTTAATAAGATTTGTCTTCTATTTTTTTTATAAAAAAAAAGTTCTTGAACAAATCGTACTGTTTAACTCTTATCTCATATATAAGCAACAATAGCTATTTCATAATATTTAAAATAAATTAATTATTTTTTTAATTCGGATTGATTATGTTCTGAAGTGTCCCTATTATATGAGTCGTAAAAGACAGTAGATTAAAGTTATGTACATAGATTTAAAAAGTCGTCATATAACACGCAAACTCCTAATAGTATTTAACTTAAACATCCCTTTATTAGTATGTTATCGTTTTGTTATCTCTAAGCAAATATTTGGACTTCAACTGTCCTTATTTTCATCAATAAAAAGTAAAATGGCATAAAAATAAAAATAAATTTTCAAACTTTAATGGTAAAAATATTTAATTATTTTCAACTAATATGTTGATGAGAAAATCCTAACCGTTAACTTAAAATGTTATGAAGCCCAAAAAACTTAAAATGTTAAAAATTAACCTTTTTAAAAATCATAAAATGAAGTTATCATTAGTATTTAATCAAACTATATATCATTTATGTTATTTAAATGGTAATTATAATTTTACAACTGTGGTATAATAGTAATTTAAATTTATTATTACCAAATGAAAACGTTCCATAATAGTTAAAAGATTATAATGTATATTTTAGTTATTTAGTTTTGTCCTTAAAAAATTTAATTTTTAAAATTCTTAATTATTTAAATTATTATATTATTTCACACATTTGTATTTATCCATCCAATTAATTTTCCACCAATTTTGTTGATTAAGATGTGATTTTTTTTTGGGGAAAAAAAAGAACTTTCTTTCAGTTTCGAGTAAGCTACTAATATGCAATATCAACTTTTTCAAATTGAATCTGACAATGCGATGAAAAGTGGGATGAAATGGGTTGAAAAGGCAGTAAAAAGAAGCCGAGTCCCCTTTTCAAAACCTAGACAGTTAGTTCCCTTTGGGGCAGTGTTTTTTAGCTTTTGATATGGAAAAGCATACTAGTTCTTGGAAAGGAAATATCTAGTCATGTTTTAAAAAACCTATCCTAATTCAAAATATAAGTCATGTTTAGATGTTGGTCAACGTTCACCCTATAAATGATTTTTATTTATATCGTTCAATTTTGGGGCGCTGTCCCCCCCCCTCTCTCTCTCTCTCTCTCTCGGTGAGAATAATTTATTTTTGTTGGTAGAAATTTTTGGCACCTTCATCGACTAGGTTTCTAGGCTTCATCCCTGTTATCTCTCCGGTGTGTGTGTGTTGTTGGGGGTTAGGTTTTCTTTTTGGATATGTGAATTTGTGGCGTGGATGGATCTGTGGGTCGGCAATTAAGGGGAAAATGGGAGGATTTAGAAAGGCAAGTTTGAAAGCTTCAATAATGCTATGCATGAAAGATTGCCAGTGAAAGTGAATCTCAAGTTTGAAGACTTCTCCCAATCGTTCTCGATCTAGCTGGTAGCCGACATGCTATTGTTACCACCCCTGGGGCCCTTCACCTCGTGTCAATGGTCGTGTGGTTCTTTTGAGGATTAGCAGTTATGTCACTACTAAAAGAGACAAAACCAATGGGATGGTTCATTGAATCCTTATATCCATTGTTTTCACGCGTGTTTACTGGAGTTTCTTCGTTTATTTTCAGCGTGTGTACGAAAGTAATTTCTTGTCTATTCTAGTGCCAATGTGGTTGGTTTCCTATTTGCTTATTTTGATTAGGGTTTATGTTGGCTTTGTTGTCTTTCCTTTAATTTGCATAATTTAAAATTAGGGTTTCAAGTTATTTGGGTCACCACCTTTCTTATATTTGGTGGACTTGTTGTGATCTTGTTTCTTTCATAAAAGTAATTGTTTTTGGCAAAGATATAAATGATTTCTATAATTCCTGCTTCACTCTGGCTTCAACTGAGAGTGAGAGATGTATAATTCATTTCATTACTGAAACATAAACTTACTTGTTAGAGAGGAGGGAGTACATTTCTCAGAGGTTAATACATACATGGACATGTTTATAAATGATCCAAACCAAAACCAAGGATTATGCATATTTGATATTTCACTCTTCACTTTGTCAGTATGTTTGAAATTACTTAAATATGTTTTATATAAGTCGAGATAAAACTCATCTTATATACTTATTTTATATTTTATAAATTATAATTGAAAAGCTACTTATAAATCATTCAATTTTTTTTCCTAGTCTACTCTCCTCAAAGTCAAAGTATAGAACTGAACGTCTGGCTTGGAAAGTAAATGGCAAGGGAAATTATAATAGTTGATATATATATATATATATATATATATATATATATATAATATTTGAAGTCGTTATGAGAGATGGATTGAGTCAAAGTTAAAAAGAGGATGTGAAAAAAGCAAAAAGGTAATGTCAGATGGTAGGGAGAAGCACGACACTGCTAAAAACTGAGTTAATGGTGATGTGTTCCTAGTAGCAGCCTATTAGTAGTGTTAGGTTACTCCCCCTCTTTTTTTCATTTCTTAATTTGTCACTGAAATTGAAGCCCCGGCGGATCGGAGGCGCCACCATGCTTGTTACGTCCGCTATAGCCCACTTTTTTAATGAAATTTCATGATGTTATTGTTAATTATTAGAAATTTTTTAATTTTACCATCATAAACAAAAGGTGAAAAGAAAAGAAGGCAAAGCTATATTCTGTAATACTCAATACTATAAATTTTTTGAACCGTGACTAATCCAAATTAAATCGAATAGAGTTTTTACCGACAACAAGCTTCTAACAATTGCTTTCTTTTCAGTCCTATTTATAAGTTTTAAATTTAATACAATTCTATATACTTTAAGTGTTTATTTGAAACAGTGGTAGGATTTTTTAAGAGATATATTTTTAATTGTAATTTACTAAATGCAAAGTAAATATGTAAGGAATATTTTGTCTTGGTTTACATGAGCGTTATTATAAGCAATTATTATCACTTGTTTAACCCCTCCTTCTTATTTACTTGCTTTGCTACTACTGTGGTTTTGGGTAAAAGATACAGTATAAATTTTTTTTAAAAAAAATGTTGACTCGGTTCATGTCTTTTCATGCATATATTTTTATTTTTATTTTTATTCTCAGCATTAATGCTATTTGCTATACAATCAGTCTTACCTCTACCTTTTTTTAAAAAAAAAAAAATCATTTTACTACTATATTTATGTGCTCATAAGTCTTCCTGTTACTTGCACCTTTTCGTCTAACGTTCAAAGTCGATCTCCCCATCTGCTCTTTCGCTGTCCTCATCTCTCTCACTGTTTTCGCACAGTAAGCTGCGTTTGTGTGGTATGAATGTCCAGCGGGCAATAATAATATCTGCAGGTATGGGTTTAGGGTTATTGCATCGAATGTATTGACATTTGACACTACATTATGGCTGGCTCAGTTCAGTGACACCCATGAACTCTGTTTATTTCTGCCCAGACAAACAGCCCCCGGCCCCTTTTACATATATATATATATATATGTATGTATGTATATATTACATGAAAAGTTTTTTATATCTATATTAAGTTTTTTGATTACATATACTATACGTCCTTTTTTTTAAATGTAAATTCATAGTTTAACAATAATATTTAAAAAATATGACATATGATCATACGTGATTGAAGAACTTAACTTAATAAATAGAAAAAAAATTGAGTACATATTATCCTATATTATATATATACATACATGCGTATTCCTATAATATTATTTCTGATATATTTAACAGGAATTAAAACATTTTAATTCCAAGTTAAAATAAAACTTTAATAATATGACCTGTAAATATGACAAATACGACAGAAATACGATTATTTATCTGCCTTATGATACATGTCTAAAAGAATTGGTAACTTCAAGGTCAGTTGATCATCTATGGTGATACTTGTATGACTAAGTATTGTCATTACCATACACCTTTTTTCCCAAGTAGTTTAACGGAAGATTTGTGGATACAAACATAGCAACTAACTAGCTAATGATTTCGTTGGAATTGCAGGTTCTGGTTCCCACCCCCCCCATTTTTCTCTCTTGCTAAATTTACGATAATTAAATACATATGATCTCCTTGTAATTATACATCATATAAGCAATTAGCTGACTTCCACAATCTTACATTGTATGAGTTCATAGCTACATATATTGATTTATGAATAATAAAAGCAAACTCAGGAGTGGCTTGTCACGAGAACAGGGCAAATTTTTCTGCTTGAAGTAATAGTGGCAAGTCAAACTTGATAGAAAGAAGACTATTAGTAAGTACATTTTCGGTCCTAAATATAAGACCCACACTACTTGTATGACTAAGTATTGTGATTACCATATACCTTTTTTCCCCAAGTAGTTTAAGGGAAGATTTGTGGATACAAACATCGCAACCAGCTAATGATTTCGTTGGAATTGAAAGTTCTAGTATTTTTTTTGTTTCCATTTTTCTCTCTTGCTAAATTTACGATAATTAAATACATATGATCTCCTTGTAATTATACATCATCTAAGCGATTAGCTGACTTCCACAATCTTACATAGTATGAGTTCATAGCTACATATATTGATTTTTGAATAATAAAAGCAAACCCAGGCAAATTTTTCTACTTGAAGTAATAGTGGCAAGTCAAACTTGATAGAAAGAAGACTATTAGTAAGTACTCTTCCAGTCCTAAATATAAAACCCACTATATAGTATAATTTATACTATAAAGTGAATTTTATATTTAGAATCAGAGGAGTATTTTGTAATTTGTTTTCAAAAAATATCATTAATATTTTAAAAGTGAAAACAATATATTTTCAATGCTAAGGGGCTTTTGATAATTTCCAGTCCACTGTGTGATCTATGTATAGAGGTGGTTGAATGTTAAGGGTCTACAATTGCTATTAATAATTTCTTTTTCTTTTTTGTAGACACATGTATTTTTTTAATTGGAGGCAATTATATTCAAAATATTACCAAGTACTAAATATAGATACCTTTTTCAGTGAGGATTTTTTTTTAATAGTTTCGATTCTTCAAAATAATACGTCTGTCATGTTGATAAGTGCCTTAAAGCATTTTTATATAAAGAGCAAACAAGATGTTATGAATATTGGTTCAGTTCTTAAGGGGTGTTTAGGTGAAATCAAATCATGGTTTAAAAAATAACTTTTAGAAAAAAATTATTTTAAGAGTAGATTTTGAAAGGATAGATTTTGTGAGAAAAATAATTTTGATAAAGTGAGAATATTTGGATGTTCATGTGCAAATTACTAAAAAGAACATAAGTTAATATGAGAGTCACATAAAAAAAACTAGTTTTAATTTATTCTTTATCTAAAGTAATAAATTAGTAAATATTATTTTTTTTGCCATATATAAAAAATAAAATTTACGCCTAATTAATATGTATATAAATTTATAAAATATCAGATTAAATATATTTCAAAAATGATAATTCCATCTCAAATTTTGAACATCATGTGTCATAAGAATTTCAGAAAAGCTGAATAATCATACGTAAGACCAATTTTTTACTATATAAGAATTAGATAACTAATTTACAGATATCAAAAAAATTACTTAAGATAGTTATTTATATAAATGAGTATTATCTTTTCTAAAATATCCTTATCAATCATGTGCATCGAAACTATCATTTGATATTAAACATTTTATCATGTGCAATTACTATGGGACTACTTAAGGAAAAAATGAATAAACATGGAAAGCAAAATGAATTGGGTTCTTCTATTTAAGACTAAATTGAATCTTCAGCTAGTTCTTCTATTAAGAATCGGAAATAGTATTTATATAATTAATTTATAATTAATATGTATATATATTTATAAAACAATACAAGAATAAATATATTTTTATAACCTCAAAGTCTCAAACCACGGTTTTATGCCTCCAAAAACCAAAAAAATATTCACTTATGGAAAGCCATAGTTTTGTCCTGCCAAACTATGGTTTTCTTTAAAACAGTTTTACAAAAAATCATGATTTTGGATAGTTTTCTTTAAAACCATGATTTCAAGAGACATCCAAACACCCCCGTCCTCTGGAAGGTTTCTATTGTTCTAAATATCAGTCATTTTACAAAAAGCCAAAAGCGTTAATTTTTTTCCTCATAAATCTGTATTGTAAAGAGAGATTATGTAAGGAAAAAAATTAAAGATAATCAAGATACATTGATTTTAATTGGCCGATCATGATCGAATGTAATAATATTTTTTTTACCCTTAGAATGATACAAATTATTTTTCTTAATCTTTGTGACGTTGTTAAGAAGTGTCTCATGTAAAGAACTAGAGTGGTAGATGAAAAAATGGAGCTAATCCCGAGAGTAAACTGACTATGTTTTAATTCGTGAGCCAAAAAATAAAAAAAAAAAAAAAAAAAAAAGGGGGGGGGGGAAAGCATGAAAGGACAAAGGTTGGACCAGTAATAATTGGGACATAAGCCAATGCGTCAAGAAAAGGCTAGAAGGAGGAGGTTTTCACTGAGGCCTCAAACAAAGGTCTCTAAATAATGAACCTCAAAATAATAACTGCAGCAAGTTGCGGTTGCTCTTTCATTGCGTATAACCCATACAACACAAATGCCCGAAGCGGATTCCACTGTCGTACGGACACATCATGATTCAACTAGCATGGAAATTTCCTCAGAACTTGTATAATAAAACCTCCACATAACTTGCATGAGCTTCTACCAAGAAGCGTGCAAGAAATCACAACGTGGTTCTGTCACAATGTGTTACATTGCCTTACAATTTACAGAGCTTGTGGTTGATAGTTGCTAGTAAATAGGACAACAAACGCAAAGCAAACTCATTGCCTATATACATGTGTGTGTGTGTGTGTGTGTGTGTGTGTGTGTGTATTACAATCACTCATCTGTAAGCAGCTACGTGCATTGTTGAACTCTCTCTCTCTCTCAGTAAATTGCAAATTACTATTTACCGAGGATTCTCCTACAAAAAGGGTTTAGAGGGGACAAAAACCCATAATATGGGCAGGTCTATAAGCAGGCTGAAGGAGAGGATTACTATAGGGGGCTATTATCAGAGTGGTAAGACCTATCTTTCAGAAAGATGGATGGCCATCTGCTGAAGGAGAACTTTCTTCTGAGATGCATTAATAGTGCCCTTGCTCTCAGCATCCAGTATGACGTCTGTCATAATTGCGGCAGCATGCCCTCTAGGCTCGTCTTCTGAAGTCCTCCTCAACATGAACACCTAAACATGACAAGTCAAAACAACACATGATCAAGCCTCTGCATTTGGTGATATTTTTGAACAATGAAAACCAAACCCCCCCCCCCCCCAAAAAAAAAAAAAAAAAAAAACAGTTTCCGGCCTGGTAAAGCCTACGATATGTTATTACCTGAAAGCCAACAATATATTTTTATGCATGATTTCTCTGGCAGAAGGGATTGGGAAAAGGAAGGGTAGGCAAATGATGAAGGTATTGAGGAATGCAGAACTCGTGTCATTAGTAGATCAGACACATACGACCCAGTTAGCAACTTAGCATATGCCAGTATAATGTGCATTTTTTAATTGCTTACTTTTACATCAAGCTTTGATATTAAATAAAGACAAGTGTGTGAGCACGGTTGCAACAGCTCCAATCTCAGCATTAACACAATGCAGGAGGAACAAAAAGAATCCCCCTGTAAATCAGATCAATCACACATGCAAGTGATCATGCAATTTTTTTTTTAAAAAAAATGTTAAAACAATACTGGATGAAGTTCACGATTTCCAACCCAACATATGAATGTGCACTAAATCTGATTGATGTGGCAGCAGTCAGTATTAGTGCTTATTGAACTTATACTGAAAAAAATAATATATATATATGTATATATCACACCGAACAAATGCACACACAAGGTTAAAGAATATTAGAATAAAATTGTTACTATCACTTGAAAGTATGTCATACCTGCCCACGATGAGATATCTCTATGCAGCCGGGTTGTTGGATAAATGGCTCCCCGTCAATTTGAACAGGGAAAGGACTTGATGAGTGTATTTTAATGACTTTACCTTGGGCTAGCCTTCTTGCTTGAGAAAGACCAACCTATCCAAAAATCAAGCGTTATCACATTAGCAAGAATTTACAAAGTCATTTTTTACTAGACATATATGCATGCTGGAAATTATCATAATACCTTCATGAAAATGTCAGTATTTTGTTCATTTTTGAGTAATATGTCAAACTAATTACATAAATATATACTTTAAAGGATACTAAAACAATTCATAATGAAAAAAGGACATGTAAAACTTTTAAATATCATCCCACTACATTTCTTTCTGCACTGATGTTTCATGCAAACGTATCAAAACATAGTAATCTGAGAGTTTGTCCAATGGAACATTCTAAAATAGGTGGTTTTAAATCATATATAAAGAGCTAATGCTCATTAGGCCAAGTCTAAAGAAAGATTTCATACCTGAAGTTTGCCTAGGTGCCATGCTCCACATACACATACCACCTCAAGCATTTTATCGTGCGCTGATTGAAGACTAAAATCATCATCATGCTCATAGTCATTTTGCCAAAGATTTACTCCACCCATATAGCTCCCGATATTAAGCACAATTAAGCCCTCGGAATCCTGCATGGAAGAATTAAGAAATTATTCCTTAGAGAGAACTTTAAAAAGTATAATATTCAAGACGCATATTTTTAAGTACTGGAAGATGTTTACTTTGGGAATATCGACGTCTTTCCCATCAACTTCAAGCCATACTTGCCACGGCAAGTCTGCACACGTTCTGTCCATTATATCTTTAGCTCCTTCTTTGGCATACCGAAGTTTATTTAAAAACTGCGAATGGAAATGTAATCAGAAAGCACTACTTGCACAAAATAGATGCAACAAAAAGCCTCTCCTGCATAGCGGGACTTGAATACCCTAGGATAAGAGAACAAATGAATAGAGAAAGATGCGTTGACTTCAATAAACAAGGGCAGAATGAGGGTGCAAGCATGTTACTTGTTGAAATGTCAAAAATAATACAGCAACCACCCATTAATTTTTCAACAAGGTCTTTTGATTGCAGTTTGTAGCTAAGACGCGTGAGAGAGAACTTCAAATAAGTGTCAGGAGGCCCTCTTTTCAGTTAGTTCCATCAAGCAGTCTGACGTCCAAAAAGTTGGGCTATATGAAATAATCACAGCCTTCTATTATTTACTATAAGTAGCAGTACTTTCAAATATTTTTCAGGCTCGGAGATTTTGTACTTAACACCATGTGCTTTAAAGCTGCCTTACATTGACAGGGTGTAGTATGAACAAATATCTTAAGCTATAAAACACCAAGAAAGAACAACTTGTACCTGACTGCAAAATTTCTCAGGATATACTTCTCGAGTGACATGAAATTCATATGCAACCTTCGCATCACATCCAATTCCTGTTAAAGTAATTTAGATATGTCAATAGTTCTCAAGAAACAAAAGTTGACGATTGTTTCAGAGAAGCACCTAGGTAGTTCATCATGGATTTAGATTTCACTTTTTTTCCTTTTCCTTTTGAGTTTTCTTCTGTAATATTTACAGCCCAGCGATCCAACATTGTAACTGCCGCATTGCTAACGTCTTGCAAAATCGTGGTCAAGCCACCTCGTCCATCAAGGGCAGAGAAGCCTCCTCCCCAATTCAGTACCCTTGATAAATCGTTTCCAGTACCTAGGGGGAGAATTGCAACAGGTGGAGGTGACTCAAAATTGTGTTTTTCTATTGCATCAAGGACCCATGCAACAGTGCCATCTCCGCCACATACCAATACTCTAAAATATTGTACACTCTTGAAAAATTCCAACCCCACCTCAGGACCCTGGGAAGCACTTAACTCAAATATCTGCAGTCAAAGAGGAAAAATTAGCTCAGGCTCATAAAGACCATGGTATGAAATAAATATATCCACTATATATAAAGACAAGCATTGCAAGTTAAGTATTTCCACAGATTATTTGCTTAAAATAAGATATTTATTGGAATTTAGAGAAACATTAAGCCATAGGATCATCTAGACCAAAAGAAGAAAATGTTAAAAATGAAGGAAATTTCCATTTTAAGACAAATTAAATTTGATGGGCGAAAGAAATGCAATATATGGTGTTTCTCAGGTTCCACTGTCTTAGAAGTAGAGCAAATCTATCACGGATCACCTATGCTTAAACTTATACAATAATGAAATTTAGTGTCTCTTCATTTTGGTAACTCATGAGTAGAAGATTACGACTTAATTTATGACACGGTAATTAATAATGTTATAGGAAAGTTAGCTAGCTAGCTAGCTGGGCTGTCAGTTGTGAGTAATATAGTTGCTATCCCAGCGTATAAAAGGAAGGGGAGTTCTCTATATTTTTTGGCTTTTCTGATGTTAATGAATACCTGAAGTTTCTCTTCATTCTCTCTTCTACAACCCTCTCTCTGAAAGTCCACTATCTATCTATCTTCTTTCAGACCTATCTAAATTCTTTTACATAACATAATACAATGCCAGTATATATGCTCAACTAAAAACTTCCAGAATAATGAGCAGAATGTTGAGATAAAATACGTGTCAAGTCTTATGCCCAAAAAAAAAAAAAAGAAACAAAGAAAAATACATGTCAAGTCTATGTGATACAAATCAAGACAAAAAAAGGGCACCAGTATTTTATTCTAATTTTACATTATTGACCTATTAGGCTATTATTAAGGAATTTAGGAAATTCCAGTATTTTATTCTCCCTTTATCTTCAAACAAAGAAAAGGAAATTTCAATATTATTCAATCACATCTCAACAAATTATTTACATTTTCAGGACCGTGGGTCCAAATCACGTAAGGCTATGGCAAAGGTATGCACAATGGGGTAGTAATTCAAATCTTGCATTAGGAAAGAGTAAAAACAGCATACCATTTTTCAAAAATTTGTGGTAGGAAAACATTGCATGGAATTTTAGAAAGAAGTCAAATTGCACTTGAGTCTGACAAGTTAAATTACTACTCTTTCATTTCATAAACCACTATTTCCATGACAATATGAAGAAAGGGCAAGAGTAAAATATTGAAATCCTTTATATAAGATCACCAATTAAATCCAACTACTTATCAATCACACTTCCAAATCATATGATACAATCTAATATTAACAAAAATAAAATGTGCGCGTGCGTGCTCACATGCAAAACATGGTTAGTTTCATAAGGTAAGAAGTTCAAGCCCAGTTTAGGGGATACCTGAACAGGATTTAGTAGCATGTTCAATCTCCTGCGAAGAGAAGACCCAAGCTGTCCACCACTCCTGGCATTTATGAAAACCAAGAGCGGTCTTGCATCAGGAGGCAACTCAAATAACGTGTACTTCTTAATTAGACTATGTGTGGCAGTTTTACCCTTTTCTTGCATAAAAAAATTAGTGTCCCTCATTTCCAGCACTCCACCATTGTTCATGTGATCGAACTTCCCCTCACAACTGGATTTCTTCATATCTGACAAGCCATTCAATACATATCCCAAAGTTGCCTCAGTAGCAGAGGAATTCCTTGATAAACAATGAGTGGAGTAACTACCTCCATTCTTATTACGATTGCGCCGCTTTTTAATCTGACCACGAACTGAAGAGGTTATGATTTCTTGTGTAATAGAACTTACTCTCTCTCCCTTTTGATCTTCATCAACTTCTTTGACAAGCAGAGGAGAGAGGATAACTCGTCTCAAAGAGCCCAAATCACAAACATCACCAAAATCTCTAGCCAATTTGGCGTGACATTTTACATGAATGAGGCGCTGACACCAGCGGCAATGCCAAGAAGGAGAGGCGTTGACAAATGGAACACCACATATTTCATCACAGTAAAAACAGAAGCCAGACATCTCCTGATTATCATCCACATTAACCCATCTCTCTGACCAATGGTGTCGCACATGGCTAAAAGCAGCCTGTGCCACACATTTGCAATCCTTTGCAGCAAACTGAGAACAATAGAAATGAGCAGCTACCCCGCAAACAGAGCAGCGATGGAGAGGAGTACGTGGTGAGGCTGTAGTACCTAAGTTATGAGAAGGCCCAAGTGAAGTCAAGCAGACACAGCAAGTTGATGGTTGTTCCGCATAAGTAAAATCTTCAAACCATATATGATTTGATAAAGGTACTTTCAGCTTTTTCCAAGCTTTTTTCTTGGCTCTGGCAGCAGCCTTCACCCAATTTAGAGAAGTCCTTCTCTGCCACTTGAGAATGGCATAAATGATGGCTAGGAGTCCAAATGATCCAGTGATCAGCCATCCAAATAAAGATGGACCAGAACCATCATGGCTCGTAAACAACCTCGTAAATGAGATAGCCAGAGACATTGTGGTAAAACTCATGGCTATTTAACTCGACTGAGCTCCCAAAAGATTATATGCATATAACCTGCAAAGAATAGCTTGTCACTCAGACTTATAAGCACAAAAGTTAGCTGACAGCAATAAATGGGCACCAAAAGGTATATGAACTTAAACCTTAGCCTTCATTACTATAGTCGACAGCAGGGGATCATTATAAGACAGAATAACACAAAAGGTGCTGCCGTATTGTGCATGGCAGAAAATTTATTGGCAGGTGAGTCTACCATTCACCTATACGGAATTTAATAGGTTGAACATTACCTAACACTACTAAGTTAGAAACAAAGTACCATTGATTATTGATTGACTATTAATAAATCGTGATCCTATGAAAACAGAAAACAATGTAGGAAGAAAACCAAGCCAGATGAGGCCATTATGGTGAAGTTAAAATCATAAGGCTCACAAAATAAGGATTGCTATATGCGTTCAAACTTAATCGAAAATTCTACCTCCTAAGAATAGACCGAGTATAAACATTAGAAACAAATCTGAGACCAAACAACGTCGTGATCAAATCATATAATAACTCCAAACCCAATACATAGAATTTAGGTCAGATGAGGGGCATTCGATCTATGCAGCTCAATCTAAATAGACTGGAAGCCAATTGGAAGTAATTAGAAAAAGAAAGATCAAAGAACAGAACTAATACCTGAACGAACGTTGAAGAAAAGGATCAAAGACTGGAGTTTAGCGCGCGAGAGAGAATATGGAGATTCCTATCCGAATGAACGAAACGCCGGAGATGCAGATGCGAATTAAAGACTAATATATTAATGTATACATGTTTACTATACACATTATTGTGGGCATGGGGAGGAAAGGGAATGGCTAGAAGAAGATCTTGGAACATTTTCATTCGGCATTTACTTTACTTAATTGAAAAGTAAGAGAGAGGGGGAATAAAAAGGCGGGATTTCCGTTGCACAACACACGGATGCTCCTTCGGAATCACCCGCGCAACCCAAGGCCAACGCGTAGAGCCGGGAAAACGGGCCGAGCCCGTCGGGCCGGCCCTTTTAGGCCCTGAAATTATGAGGGTCGGGTTTGATATTTTTCTCTTAAAATGAGAAATAAGCCTGGAGGGCTGGCCTTGGGTTGCGCGGGTGATTCCGAGGGCTTAAAAGGGCCGGCCCTTTTTACATAATATTAATGTTATTAATCTTATAATTTTTTATTTTTTAAAATTTTTTTATATAATATTAATGTTATTAATTTTTTACATTGTTAATAATATTTCAAATATTTAGTTATTATTATCATTTTAAAATTAAATTTAGTTTTAGACAATAATTTATCCAATTAAATTTTTAAAAAATGGGTTAATTTGGACTTTAATAATGATTTGATTTATATTATATGCATCGATATTTTTAAACTATATATATATTTGATAATAGAATATTTTTATACTTATATAACTTGTGATTCTATAATTTAAATTAGAAATTCATGAGTTTTAACAACAATGTTTCTCACATTAAAGTAAAATAATAGTTATATTGCAAAATGTAAAAATAAAATTCTTATAAAGAAGAAAAACTTGATATTTTTGTTACGAAAGAAAAGCATACTTATGAAGAAAAATAATTAATTATAGTGATGATGAAGTTTCAAAAGATTAATGATAATGTTTATTTATTACACAATTGCATTATAGATAAAACTTTTAGATGTTATTATTTTGTTAATGAATGTTTTAGATGTTCTTAGATATTGATGAATATTTATATATGATAATATTTTATATTTATGGCTTAATTTTATTCATATTTATGTCTTTTATTAATAATTTCATTGGTTTATTTTTATATTTTTATAAAAATATATGATAAATATAAAAAATAGTATTTTTTCTTAAACGGGCCAAAAGCCCGCAGGCCGGCCCTGGCCCTGTAGCTTAAGGGCCGGGCTTAGCAAATTGGGGTATTTTTAAAATTTCAGCCATGGAGGGCCGGCCCTTTTAAGCCCGCCAGCCCTGAAGGGCCGGCCCTGGAGGGCCGGGTCGGCCCTGATTCCCGGCTCTACCAACGCGTTTAATCTCAATTTACCGTTTGCCCAGCTAAAAGTTCTTAATTTACCGATATGTCCTTCAGCGTTTTCGAAATGAAAATGAATGCGAGGAAGCTTATGCAGTTATATCTATATTATATTTACGTGATGAATATAATAATATCTTTGTGGATATTCATATATCTCTCATTAACTCTTATATTTTTTATAATTTCTAATATCTCTCATTATTTCTGTATCTCATAATTATTTCCTATTATTATATAATCTATAGATTCTATCAAAGGTGTAAAGTTGTGCCTATAAATAAAGGACATGTATAATGTATTTAGTACATTTAAATGGAATGAGAAATACTCTCTCTTGTTGATCCTCTCTTTCTCTGTATGATTCTTCTCTCTATTTCTTCTTTATTTATAACACGTTATCAGCACGATATAATTCTCGATTAAATGGTTCGCATTCATATAATTTTGATTTTTTATCTTATGACTAGAAGTCATAAATATTTAATTTTGTTATTTTATTAATTGGCTTGAAGCCATATAACATCAAAGTTTTATCTTATGGTCAGAATCCATATATCTTTAATTTTTTATTTTGAAATTAAATAGCTAGATGCCATGTATCTTTATTTTCTTTATTAAATGGCCTAAAGCCATATAGTGTTGATTATGAGAAGGATCATTATATGGTTTGTTTATAAAAGAAAAATTATGACAATTAGAATTATAAATAATGTGACCCAGAAAACTAATGACTATATAGTGAATGATGTATTGGTAGAAGAGTTTATCTTTTCTCTTTATTTCATGTTACATTTAATTAATTTGAAATTCAAGTTTTATTTTTATCTTATTCTCATATATTTTTGACATTCAATTTGATATTTATTAATATTATAATTTTCTTATTACTAAATGGCCAGCAGCCATTACACTCATGTTATTGAATAACATGAAAATAATAACTTATGATGTTTTTAAAGCCCTGAAGGCTTATGGTTTAAATATGAAGTGACACAAATGATCTTTAAAAATATATATAATTTCCAATATAGAATCTTGAAGACTAATGACTTATAAATAGCCCTAAAGGCTTATGATTCAAATCTTCCTAACTATATAGTTTGATTTTAGTCCTTATAGATTTTTTTTGTTAAATTTATAAATTTATGAATAAGTTTTGAAGCATTACATAATATATATACAAAGAAATAAAGTTTTTGAATAACGAAATATCGAGAAATATATATATTTTGTTCAAAAAAAATACTTCATATTTTGAAAAAACAAAGTATAACAAAAAGTGAAGTATATCATATAGTGAAATAATAATATATTTTAGTTCTTGAAGAACTATATATAGCTTTTTTTTTAAGAACTATATGTAATCAAAAAATTGATATAGTTCCAGAAGGACTAATAACAAAAGATTGATATAGTTCCAGAAGAACTAATAGCAAAATATTAATATAGTTCCTGAAGAACTAGTAACAAATCGATATAGTTCTTGAATAACTAATGCAATTTTCCCATTATTTTTGTGGGTAGAAAAGAAATTGATAATGAAAAATTATGACCCACAAACATTTATATTAGAATATTTGCTTATCAAAGAGTCTTAAGATGATAGCTCAATTGGATTGAAATATATTATTATATATGAATCAGGAAGCATTTGAATTTCAAGTTAAAGATATGTTATTAGCTTACTATATATTATTCACTGTATTTGAAATACAGAAATAAGAAAAATATATTTATACGACTCACACTTGAGGAGGAGATTTTTGAAATACAAGTGTAAATCATGTTGGATGGAATTTGTTATTATTAATATTAATGTCAATCCTTATATCTCATGTTCCTTTTGAAAAAAAAAAAGCTCCAGAAGAGCCAGTAGCGCTCAACCTTCCATGAGTGCACAGGTTTCTACAATTTGGGTAAAAGATAAAAACTAATGCTCTAGAAGACCTATATCATAATTTATTATCCTAAAGATAAAATTCATAATGGAATATTAAGGAGAAAAATAATTAATATAACATGGTAACAAGAAGTTTACCAATAATTGAGAATAATTTTACAATAAACCAGAAGTTTATGCATTCATAGTTTGGCATGACCGGTCAAATCATCCTGAATCATAATGATGCAAAATGTCATGAAAAATGTGTATTGTCATTTATTAAAGAACTAGAAGATTCTTTAAAAATGATATATGATTCAAGAATTTTTATGTGTTGATTGTGCTCAAAGAGAACATCACTAGCTATGCTCAAAATAGGATCCGTACAGATTTATAATGTATCGACTTTATATATGGGTCTATTTAGACACCATGTGGACCAAAGTAATACTCTATAAGTAAAAGATGCATCTATAAAATGGTCACAAGTATTTATGATCAACTTGCAACCTAAAGTTTGCAAATATGTTCAAATAATTACATTAAGTACATAAGTTCTTGATTATGAAATCAATATGATTCTTGTTGAGATTGCTAGTAATTGTTCCTCACGTTGCTGATGATTATATGCTTAGTAAAAGCCTCCATAAGTAGCTAGATCAGAGTTTATGAGAACAGAATTCCTATTTGAGTATTGGGATGATTGATTTTATATATTTTTGCATATAAATACATCAAGCCAACAATGTATTGTAAATTCTCCCATTATAATTGGCTTTTGGTCAGGGCAGACATTTTTCATCTTAGAATGTGCAATATTTATTATTCCACAGTAATAATGCACATAGATAAATATTAAAAGTAAGTTGGGATCAATGTTAGATAAGAACCTCCTTATTCTTGTTTGTCTCTAAATGAAACAAAATAATATTTCTAAAGGTGATTTACGGATTTGGGAGACTTGCATTGCATATTTCCAATATAAGGGGGAGAAAATGTATAGTTAGAAAAGAGAGCACATATAATGCACTTTCACTATTAAATGTAGATCCTCAAATATAGTAGTATGAACTAGAAGTTCATAAAGTATTGCATTTATAAAACATTACTAATGTCTGCCAGATGCAATTACTGACCCAAATGAGAATTTTTTAATTCTTATATTGCAGCTAAAATGCCCCCATTCTTGAAGACATGCTAAAAGCATGAAATTATGATCGGTTCCAAAAGAAAAGAAAAAGGAGCAAATGATCATGATGATCATACTAAGAAGGTATGAATTGCAAAAGAGGTTAAGACATAACTCTTTGACCCCTGAAGAGGTTTAAGTGTCTAAAAGCAATAAAGAGATCTCGATATATTATGTCATAAAAGAAAATAGAATCGATAAAGGAATAAAATTGTCGACAATAATTTGATTGATGATATCACATGATCAAGTGAGGATCTTATATATAAATCTATCATGAGATACAGACAGAAAAATGGTTGGCCAACAAAAAAGAAAAGATGCAATGTAACAGGGATTTGTGTATCCCTGGCCTATACACTTGAAGTGTAATGCTAGTATTATGTAAATAGGCATTTGTAAAATATAAAGAGAAATAAAATCTTGTAGTAGATTAAATTACATGTTTTATCAATCTGGCAGTCTGGTAATAAATGAAATTTTTTCATGTGCGTCCTAGAAATATATAACTATAACGTATGACTCACTTTATAGTGAAATTTTATATGAATCTCTGAAAGATTCAAATCCTTGTATAAATTATTAAATTCAAATGTTCCAATATATAAATAGATATAGATCATAATGTATGAAAATTCTTGAAGAATTTAAGTTTCTAGAAGCATACAATTATGTTCTCAAGGATACTATTCAAGTAAGTATCTATATGAGACATATGTGGTTA